GCCCTCGAAGCGTGCAGAGCCACCACTCCCCTCCATCTTCTGGGTCCAACAGCGGACGGGTGAAGATGCCAATCCTTGTAGGTTCCGGTTAGGGTTTAGGGCTTAGGGCTTATAGGGCTTACGGGTTTTTGGCTTAAGGCTTAGCGTCCAGGGTTAGGGTTTACGTAGTGTTTAGGGTTTAGGGTTTATGGTTTAGGGTTTAGGGTTTAGGGTTTATGGTTTAGGGTTTAGGGTTTAGGGTTTAGGGTTTAGGGTTTAGGGTTTAGGGTTTAGGGTTTAGGGTTTAGGGTTTAGGGTTTAGGGTTTAGGGTTTAAAGCTTAGGGTTCAGGGTTCAGGGTTCAGGGTTCAGGATTTAGGTTTCAGATAAAAAAGCGCGCTCGGGTGTGAAACACCCCGGGCCGCGCGCTCGCGTTGCCTGTCAACCCACCCCGGCCACCCACACCATACTCCATTAGGGTGTAGGGTTTATTGAATGATTTTCTGATGCACCGATGCTTGCTTATATTTTTCAAAGTTGCGGTGCTAGGGTTTAAGCTGGGGGTCGGGGTAGCCTCGGCCCTTTTCGGGCCTTCGGCGTGTCAGGGCCCATAGCGCCCAAAGCAAAACCCTCGTCTTGGCTTTGGCAGAGGATTGCAACGGCTTAAGTTGGGGCATTTTCTTGCCGTCGCATTTTCAAGTTTCCTGCAAAACCCCGGCATTTTCGAGGATTTTCTAAAGCGGGAAGCAAGGCTCCCCAAGGCAAACCCTTTCTAATACGACCCCCAGACACTCTCTCGCTCTCCCGGGGCGTGTCGGGGCAATCCCGGATAAGCGCCCCGGACACTCCCCGACCCCGACCCCCGGACACCCGCGGCCCCCGGACGGGGCGTCAGGGGGCCCCCCAGACACTGTCCCGCTCCACGTCCCGTCTCGGAAGGACACCCCCCCAGACACGCCCGGACACCCCGGATGCTGGCCGGCTGCTCCTGAAACCCTACACCACCTCCAGAGCAAAAGCCGCACGATTTGGTGTTATACTTTAGCTACGCTAAAGGTGGTCGTAAGGAAGGCCAGTATCCGTTGGCCTGTCCAGGACAAGCCGGTGAGGCTTCACCCTCACCTCTCCCGTCCCACTCTTTCCGTATGGGCGCTCGGGCTGCAAGGCCCTCGGCCAAGCGTTCGGGGTCTGTCGCTCGACGGAAGCGACCCCTCACTTAGTTTAGGGTTTAGGGTCTAGAGTCTAGGGTCTAGGGTTTAGGCTTTAGGGTTTAGGGTTTAGGGTTTAAGGTTTAGGGTTTAGGGCTTAGGGTTTAGGGTTTAGGGTTTAGGGTTCCAGAAAGGACAATCCAATCCAACATTCCAGAAAACCCACAACCACAAGGCATTGGGCTTTAGGGTCTAGGGTCTAGGGTCTAGGGTGTAGGGTCTAGGGTCTAGGGTCTAGGGTTTAGGGTTTAGGGTTTACGGTTTAGGGTTTAGGGTTTAGGGTTTAGGGTTTAGGGTTCAGGGTTCAGGGTTTAGGGTTTAGGGTTTAGGGTTTAGGGTTTAGGGTTTAGGGTTTAGGGTTTAGGGCTGAAGGCCTACGGGTAAAAGGTGTGTTGTAAGCGCTCTTGCGCCTGATCTTTCTTGCCCCGCGCAATGCGATGTAAGAGTGCATACTGGACATATTTTAGTCCTTTGCAGCGCAACTTCTGCCGATGTAGTCCTCTAGACATGCTTGAGGGCAGTGATCGAGGCCTTCGGAAGTCAAGCACTCGGCTGAAGCACAAAGATGCTGCTGACCATGTACCTTGTCCAGCCAGCTCGATCATTCGAGCTTGCATGCCATACGACCCTAAACCCTAAACCCTATACCATAAACCCTTCGGCCTTCGATGCCTTCCGCAGACATCGTCTTCTTGAAGCCCGAGGCTTGTGCATCTCATGCTCATCGTACTATCTGTCTTATGGTTGGCCCCATACACCGACATCACCTGCCCGCTAGCCATGGCTCACTGGCGCATCTCATGCTCATCGTACTATCTGTCTTATGGCTGGTCCCATACACCGAGATCACTCGCCCGCTGGCCATGGCTCACTGGCGAAGAAGAAAGCAGTGTTTAATTTCAGCCCGGTATCTCATCTGCTGAAGTTTCGTTTACAAATCAAACATGCAATCTTGACCGTGGTCATTAGAGTCCAAAGTGCTTTGGACTTTAGACTGATTCCGCTGAAGCTCACGCAGCTGCTGTTGCGGAGTTCCAAGTCGCTCCGCAACAAGGCCGGAGATCTCTCATGTTCCGCAGCACATCCGGCTTTTTTGAGAGAGTCCCCAAGCCGCCCTCTGACGTTACGGCTGATCTGGCTCGGCGGCCGGTGCACTAGGGAAAGGCGCTCTTTGGGGACTTTGCGACGGCTTGGGATGTAGGGTTTAGGGTTTAGGCTTTAGGCTTTTGGCTTTATAGGCTTTGGGCTTTAGGCTTTAGGCTTTAGGCTTTAGGCTTTAGGGTTTAGGGTTTAGGGTTTAGGGTTTAGGGTTTAGGGTTTAGGGTTTAGGGTTTAGGGTTTAGGGTTTAGGGTTTAGGGCTTAAGGCTCAAGATGCTCAAGGTTTTTGATATTTGGGGTATAGGCTGGAAGCGTGCAAAAGATGTGCATGCAGGCGAGCGGCTGCCAGCCCGAGATTGAGCCTTCCACCTTCCCAGAAAACTCAGGGTTTAGGGTTTAGGGTTTAGGGTTTAGGGTTCAGGGTTCAGGGTTTAGGGTTTAGGGTTCAGGGTTCAGGGTTCAGGGTTCAGGGCTTTAGGGCTTTAGGGCTTTGGAGTGTAGGTCTTAGGGTTTAGGATTTAGGGTTTAGGGCTTAGGGCTTAGGGTTTAGGGTTTAGGATTTAGGATTTAGGATTTAGGGTTTAGGGTTTCGGTTTGGGTTTAGAGGATTTTTTTTTGCTCAATTCAGGAGTGGAGGAATAGTGTGAAAACCCAACACGAGGCATAAGTTCTCTGCATTAAACTATGCTCTCACACACGTCCCTAAACCCTCAAACACACGAATCCTCCAGCCCCACAAGCCCCTCAAGCCCCTCAAGCCCGGAAACCCTAAACCCTAAACCCTAAACCCTAAGCCCCCAACCAACCCCCGCTGCCTTTTCAAGAAAGGAAACCTCACACCCTAAGACTAAAAAATGATGGCAACATTCATAAGCCCTAACCAAAACCTGAACGCTAAAAACCCTAAAACCCTAAAGCCCTACAACCCTAGAACACTAAAAAACCCTAAAACCCTAAAAGCCTGAAACCCTAAACCGTAAACCCTAAACCCTAAGCACTAAACCCTAAACCCTACAACCCTAAACCCCGAAAAAACCCTCCCCCCCCCCCCCCCCCCCCGCTGCCCAATCCACCTGTAGCTTCAGCGCCATCCACAGCACGTTGATCTTGGAGTTCGAGGGGGGCGGAAGGGTTTGGGTCTCAGGGTTCAGGGGCTTAGGGTTTTGGTAGCTTCAGGGTTTGGGGTAGTTGAGGGTTCAGGGTTCAGGGACTTCTAACCCTAAACCCTAACCCTAAACCTAAAACCCTAAACCCTAAACCCTGCAAGGAGTTCATGGTTGGCTTGGGAGTTTTTGTAGGGGTTTCCGGGTTTCTAGGGCTTTGAGGGGATCCGGGGTTTTAAAGCCTTCTCTTCAGGGAGCTCAGAGAGTTCACCACGCGCCGCAGAACCAGCAGAATCTGAGAAACCCTGAACCCTAAACCCTAAACCCCAAACCCTAAACCCTAAACCCTAACTTTTGATTTTGCATTCTATGTTTTTGTTAATGATACTTCTGTACCAATCTGGATTGTGGATAGTGAATATATTTCAATCTTGATGAAACGTTTTGGTTCAGGTGAGCCCCATTATCCTGGAGGGTTTAAGGTTTAGGGTTTAGGGTCAAGTTTTTAGGGTTTAGGGTTTAGGGTCTAAACCCGAAACCTGCGGCAGGGAAGGGGCCTTTCTCCATGGGCCATAAGGGTTTTGGGTTTAGGGTGGTTTAGGGCTTAGGGCTTAATACTCCCAAACAAGCCGCAAGAAGCCCTAACAAGGGAATGTGGGGCCCGTTACGCCCTCCCTTCCACCCCCGTGGTTCCTTGTGAACAAGATGTGGGTTTTGGGTTGGACATGCCCAGGGCTTGGGGCTAGAATTGCTTCCCCAAACCCTGAACCCTAACACCATCTGAAGCCCGATTACCTGAACCCCTGAGGGTTTAGGACCCCGGCTTGAAAACATCTAAAAAGCACATAACCCTAAACCTCTACGTGGCCCAGGGTTTGGGGCCCTGATTTGTAGCAAACCCTTCTCAGACCCAAGAGTAACCTGCCCTTTTTGGTCTACGGGGGCTTCTAAGGGAATCTAAACCCTCCCTTACAGAGAATAATACAACAAAAGGAAAGAGGGCCTACTCTGGGTCTCGCCCTAAACCCTAAACCCTAACCCTAACCCTAAACCCTAAACCCTAAACCCTAAACCCTAAACCCTAAACCCGGGCCTACTCTGGTTTCCTAGTGACTTCCTAGGAAGCCCAGGAGCGAAGACCATGGTGGCGATCCTGGGCCCGCTTCGGGCTTCAGCTGAAGGTTGAGGGTTGAGGGTTTAGGGTTTAGGGTTTAGGGTTTAGGCTTTAGGGTTTAGGGCTTCAGGTTGAGGGTTGAGGGTTGCGGGTTTAGGGTCCAGGTTTAGGGCCGTCTAAAGTCTGCGGCGGCGCCATGGCACCTTACTCATGACCTCCTAACCTCCGAAATATAGGCCCAAAGTGTGCAAGGGTTTAGCCTCAAATCAGCGGGCACTTGGAGAATTGGGTGGGTTCACAGCTGGATTTGCGGCTGTGGGGTGCTGATATCCCAAATCCCTGGCAAGGAAAACACAAGTGCTGCCAAAAAGAACTGAGACCTGCTAGCCCTAACCCTGAACCCTAAACCCATTTTTTAACCCAGACTCTTGACGTCAGCTGGCACGATGGTTTTTTACATCCGGAGATTTTGCAAGAAACCCGCATATAAACCCACACTTAGCCCTTGCGCGATGCCTTGCCAAATGAGCCCAGGGACACCATGTCGAATTTGCTCGATTGCAAGAAGACCTGGACATGGCGCTTGGGTTTAGGGTTTCGGGTTTAGGGTTTAGGATTTAGGGTTTAGGGTTTAGGATTCAGGGTTTAGGGTTTAGGGTTTAGGGTTTAGGGTTTAGGGTTTAGAGATTCCTTTTGTCCACCCGTGCAACCCTAAACCCTATAAACCCTAAACTCTAAAGACGCGCACGCTACAAGCCTTTACCATTAAGGATTGGATATTGGCTAAGGGCTTACACATACGGAGCTTTCCCGTGGTAGGGGCAAGGAACCCAAACCCCAACCGCTAAAACCCTAATCGGGTGGTTCCTAGAATAAGGGTTGGAGCATTTGGGGCTGCATACTAGGGTACCCTTCTTGTCGGAAATACCCGGACATACCCCATACTAAACACATCTAAAGACCAAACCTCTGAGGTGGTTTGTAGAGGGTTTAGGGTTTAGGGTGTAGGGTTTAGGGTTTAGGGTTTAGGGTTTAGGGTTTAGGGTTTAGGGTTTAGGGTTTAGGGTTTAGGGTTTAGGGTTTAGGGTTCTTAGGAGGCGTGGGCCTGGAACCGCTCCATGGGCGTCCGAACTGCGAGCCTCGCCGGCGCTGTCGGTGTTTTTGCTTTGGACCCGTTCGGGGATAGGGTTCAGGGCTCAGGAAATAGGGTTTAGGGTTTAGGGCGAAAAGATTTAGGGTTTAGGGTTTAGGGTTTGGGGTTTGGGGTTTGGGGTTTGGGGTTTGGGGTTTGGGGTTTGGAGGTTGGGGTTTGGGGTTTGGGGTTTGGGGTTTGGGGTTTGGGGTTTGGGGTTTGGGGTTTGGGGTTTGGGGTTTGGGGTTTAGGTTGTTGAGGATGCTCCAGGCTTTTGAGGCTCAAAAGTGACCAGGGTTCAGGGCTCAGGATTCAGGGCTTAGGGAGGTTTAGGGTTCAGGGCGAAAAGGTTTAGGGATTGGGGTTTGGGGTTTGGGGTTTGGGGTTTAGGGTATTTGGTTTAGGGTTTCGGGTTTAGGGTATTTGGTTTAGGGGCTCTGGGTTTTTGTCAAGGGTCTCAAAGGCGCTCTCTACTGGTTTGGACTCAGGCGCACTGCCAGGGTCGAGCTTTCGGTTGGGGGTTATGGGGTTCAGGGTTGGGATGCTCCCCCCTTCTACTAACAGTCCTGAATAAGGATTATCCCTAAACCCCAAACCGTAAACCCTAAACCCCTCCTCTATTCGAATCCCTGTTAAGGACTTCTAATATAAGGGGGAACATCGGAACATCCCAAGGTTCAGAGTTCAGTGGTTTTGGGGGTTGGGATCTCTTCAACCCGAACCCGGGAACTGCCCCAAAAGGGTACCACTAGGGTTTAGGGTTTAGGGTTTAGGGATTGGGGTTTGGGGTTTAGGGTTTAGGGTTCAGGGTTTAGGGCTACCAAGACCCTCAACTCTCAAGGGCTCTAAACCCTGACCAAACCCGCGTTGAGGATTCCAGCGTGGGGGCCTTCAGAGCCCTCTTTGAGGCAAAAAGATCCTAAACCCTAAGCCCTAAACCCCAAAACCCTGAACCCCCCGCCCAACAGGCTTCCGAGGGTTGCTCCTGGCAGCGTCATACTCAAGCCCTTTTTGAGCAACGGACTTTGGAGGCTGCCGGCAAACCATACTCAAGCCCTGAACCCCAAACCCTAAACCCTAAACCCTAAACCCGCCTGTCGGTCGTCTCCGTCTCCTGGACGAGGAGGAAGTTCTCGCGGGGGGCCTCCGGCTCCTGCCTGAGCTTGGACGTTCCCCACTTGGAGGTTCATGGCACTTACTAACCAATTATAACTGTACTTATAACCCTACTTATAATACCCCTAGAGGGCCTTATAGGGGTTATCCCACTTATAAGTAGGGTCATAAGTACAGTTATAATTGGTTAGTAAGTACCATGAACCTTCAAGCAGGCCTGCCTTCTAAGGTGCCAGCTGCCCTGTTCGCGAATTAAGCCCTTTTTCAATGAGGGTCGAGGGTTCAGGGTTCAGGGTTCAGGGTTTAGGGTTTAGGGTTTTGGGTTTTGGGTTTCGGGTTTAGGGTTCGGCATAAAGCGAATGAAACCCTGAACCCTACAAAACCCGAACCCTAAACACCCCCTTGGAAGTTCCAAAAACCGCAGCCATCCGCAGCCCTAAAACCTAAACCCTAAACCCCAAACCCCAAACCCTAAACCCTAAACCCCAAACCCCAAACCCCAAACCCCAAACCCTAAACCCTAAACCCTAAACAGCAGCCCCGGCAGGTTTTGCAGCACGCGCCGGGCCGCAGAGGATCGACTTTGAACAGCTCCTCTACCTTCGACTCCTGGGGTTTAGGGTTTAGGGTTGAGGGTTTAGGGTTTAGGGTTTAGGGTATAGCGTTTAGGGTTTAGGGCATAGGGTTGAGGGTTGAGGGTTGCGGGTTTAGGGTTGAGGGTTTAGGGTTTAGGGCTTAGGGCTTAGGGTTTGGGGCTACAGCTCCTCTACCTTCGACTCCTGGGGAGTTTCAGGGGCGCGGCACTTCTTGGGCAAGATGGTTGGGGTCTAGGGTTTAGGGTTTAGGGTTTAGGGTTTAGGGCTTAGGGTTTAGGGTTTAGGGTTTAGGGTTTAGGGTTTAGGGTTTATGGCTGCATCAACAACGATTTAGGGGAGCCGCTTGATCATGAGAACCGAAAAAGCACCAGGCCCAAGACAACAAAAGCACCAAGCCTTTGCAAGCTTAGAGTTGATGCGATACACTCAGTGCGAAATGCTCTCAATCAAGTCTGCATTACCCTAAACCCTAAACCCTACACCCTAAACCCGAAACCCTAAACCCTCAAAGCACATGGGTACACCCGGAAAGGCCTTCAGCCCATGCACCCGAGACCTTGCATTCAGCCCATCCCGCCTGGTTCTCCCACGCGTCCAGGACCTTGCATCGATTAGGGTTTAGGGTTTAGGGTTGTGGGTTTAGGGTTTAGGGTTTAGGGTTTAGGGTTTAGGGTTTAGGGTTTAGGGTTTAGGGTTTAGGGTTTAGGGTTTAGGGTTTAGGGTTTAGGGTTTAGGGTTTCGGGGATTTAGGGGGGTTTAGGGGGGTTTAGGGGGGTTTAGGGGGGGTTTAGGGAGGTTTAGGGGGGTTTAGGCATGAAGCTTGAGGGTTTAAGGTTTAGGGCTTAATCAACCCGGAGCTCTCGAATTCTTCCTTGGCAGGGCCGAATCGGAACAAATCCCCCCCTCCCCCCCCCCCTCCCGCGCCTCACTGGCCTGTAGCTGCCGAGGCTTCTTCCTCGGCTCGCGGAGGGGGTTTGTGGGGTTTGTAGGGGTTAGGGTGTAGGGTTTCGGGTTTAGGGTTTAGGGTTTAGGGTTTAGGGTTTAGGGTTTAGGGTTTAGGGTTTAGGTATCGAAATTTTCAAGTTGTACTTGGGGGGTCATGGGCACTTATAACCCCACTTGTAGCTGCACTTATAAGCCCCCTAAGGCCCCCTGAATGAAGGAAGATACCTTAAACTATATAGGGCTCCTTAGTATCATTTAAGGTATATGTTGCCTTAAGCACAGTAAGGTCTAAGGGCCTCGGGCTTCGGAAGTTCCGTGTTCCGCAGGCTTTGAGGGTTTCGGGACTCGGGCTGAGAGCTTGGGGGGGCTCTTGGAGGCGTTGGCAAGATATCTCAGGCGTCAAAGCTACGGAGCCTTTGGGACGCTGAGGCCTCCAGGGAACTTGTGCATGACGATGCGTCTGGAGGGATTTTCCAAAATCAAAATAGCCCCTTCTCGGGACCGGTCAGAAGAGCTATTCCTCAAAGGGACCCCTCACTGAGAACAGCCCCTATTTGGAGGGCCGTGTTTCCTGGTGATCTTTTCAGGCCTTTGGTGTTCCTACGGCAAACACAACCCGAAGCTTACCACCCTAAACCCTGAACCCTAAACCCTAAACCCTAAACCCTAAGCCACACTTCGCCCAGGCGCCCGTGCACCCAAAAGGCCGTCGTCGAGGAGCGGCCCATCAAGCCGCTCTTCTTGCTTATCTCACCTTCACTGCGAGAGCAAGTCCGATCCTAAAAGGCAGTCCAATCCTAAATGCCCCAAAAGCCCTAAGGCCCTTTAAACCCTAAACCCTAAACCCTAAACCCGAAACCCTTTAAACCCTAAACCCTTTAAACCCTCAACCCTTTCTAAGAGGTCTCTCTCCCTAAGCCCTCAGCCCTAAACCCTAAACCCTAAACCCTAAACCCTAAACCCTAAACCCGAAACCCTTTAAACCCTAAACCCTTTAAACCCTCAACCCTTTCTAAGAGGTCTCTCTCCCTAAGCCCTCAGCCCTAAACCCTAAACCCTAAACCCTAAACCCTAAACCCTAAACCCGAAACCCTTTAAACCCTAAACCCTTTAAACCCTCAACCCTTTCTAAGAGGTCTCTCTCCCTAAGCCCTCAGCCCTAAACCCTAAACCCTAAACCCTAAACCCTAAACCCTAAACCCTAAACCCTAAATACCTAAACCGCGGGAGGGGGGATGTGGCCCTTGGCAACAACACCTCACGCCGCCCTCGCTACGTGAACTCTGCTGCGCATCGACACCCGTAACCCCCAAACCTTGGGATGTTCCCCCTTATGCTGGTTTTTCAGGGTTTGGGGTTTAGGGTTTAGGATTTAGAATTTAGGATTTAGGATTTAGGGTTCCTCCCTATACTCACAATTCTGAGTAGGGATTTTAATCGGCGGGTACTAGAATCCCTATTAAGGACAGTTCGTAGAAGGGGGAACATCCCAAGGCCCAAAACCCCCGAAAAAAACCTTCATTTTGCATCTGCTCTGCGCCTCCTAAAGCTCCTAAACCTCCAACCCCCTCAACCCTAAGCTCCCGAAATCAGGAAAGTTCCCAAGCCCGACGCAAAGTGTATGCGGAGGTGCGTGCAATGGGCTTGGCTGGCTTGGTTGGCTTGGCTGGCTCCGCTCCGGTTTCTTTTCCTTTGAAATATGGCGTTCAGCTAGGACTTGAAAGGGTATCCTTTTTTTGTTTTAAGGGTCTATCAGGGAACCTCCCCTCCCCTCCTCCCCAAAAAAAAGGAATAAGAGCCTACTCTAGTTCCTTGTTTTGGTTGCTGTCGGAAATTCCCAGTACTCTGAAGAAGCTGCTTGTGAACACGCCCAAAGCAAACCGCCACACAGGTTCCTACACCCTCAACTTAGGATGTTCCCCCCTATACTAGCAATCCTGTGTAAGGATGATCATAAGGGGGTACTATAATCCCTATTCAGGACTGTTAGTCTAAGGGGGAACACCCCAAACCCTAAACCGGAAACCCTAAACCCCATAAGGGTGAACATCCCAACCCTCAACCCAACAGTCCCCAAGCTTTCCCAATGCTGTTCCGGCGGCGCGTTAGAGGCTCGTCTGCCTCGGTACAGTGACCGTGGGGGTTTTGGGGTTGTTAGCCCTAAACCCTAAACCCTACACCCTACACCCAAACCCTAAACCCTAAACCAGCAATCCTTGCGCAGGACCGAAAACGAGACGACGGGCGTGTTGGAAGACGGACTGCTAGACTGCTAGATGCAACGCTGCAACCGAGTGCCCGCTCCCAAGAGCCTTTTGCTGCTTCCTTGTGCCCCTAACCCCGAGGTCGGGTTTTAGGGTTCAGGGGTACGGTTCCCCGACCACGGATCCTTGTATTCTAGGGGTTCGTTGAGCACTCGCCTATTTTCAGAAATGCCCACATCTATCCTGATAATTCAGGCGCAGCCCCCATACAGAAACAGTGGCTTGAGAGCGAAAGCATTTCAAGGAACTCAAGGAGGGGACCCGCATAAGGGACCTTATAGGGGTTCTTTACGGGGCTTCTTGAGGGGCTGCTCAGGTAGATACGGACCATAGAAGGTGTTTATAAGGGTTATCTGGGTCCTTTCTAGGGGTCCCTCCTATTATACCCCTCAACCATAGGGCCCCGGCTGCCCTAAGTTTCGGCCATCTGCAGTGGTCCTGCCCTACCGGCCTGCTACATGAACCTCCAGTTAAGGGGTACAAGGAGGGATTCTCGAAGGGACCCTTAATCTTATTCCTCTATATAACCCCTATACATGCTCTTTATTGTCCCTACGTACCGAAGGAGCCCCTAAATGACCCCTAACCTTGACCAAGTGAACCCGAAACATTTCTGCTGCCCGTCAGCCATTTGTCCCGTGGACATGCGCCGCGGCTTGACGACTGGTGAAGACATGGGACTGAAGGCCTGAAAGTGGGACTACTTCAGGGGAAGGTTGAGGGTTTAGGGTTTCGGGGTTGAGGCTTAAGGCTTCGACCAAGGTTCATTGGTCGAGGGTTTAGGGTTTAGGGGGAAGGGTTGCAGGATGTGTAGTGGGAGTTCGGGAGGGGTCCTGGGGAGGTGGTCGGGGGTTGCAGGAAACTTGGGGTTCGGGGGATCCCAGGCAAGAGCCCAAAAAGGCAACAACAGCCCCCTACTGGAACAATCGGGACCCCCACAGCATAGGTCTGCAGCTCCTCCAAGTGTTGGGGGGGAGGGCGCGGGGGGGGGGGGGGGGTGCGTCTTGGGGGGACGTAGACCGGGTCCCGTTTCTGCTTGTTCCAAACGCTTCTCGGCAGGAAGCCGAGGCGAATAACTGTACTTATGAGCCCCCTCAGTTCCCTAAGTAGGTTATCAGTAGACTTATAATTGGAGTTATAAGTGCCCATGAACCTCCAAGTACAGGAAGGCTCCCCGTATCTACACATGGGCCCAAGGCTGACCTACGGTCACCGAAGATGCGGAGCGCGCAGTTGGAGGTTCATGGTGCTTGCCAACCAAGCAGTAACTGCACTTAACCATCTTAGGGTCACTAAGGGCTTTATATGTGGGTTATAAGTAAAGCTATACTTGGCTTTTAAGTACCTTGAACCTCCAAGCAGCAGTTTGCAGATGATAAGGGCCTCAGGGTTCCGACATGGGTCACCCGAGATCACGCACTGTGCGCTTGCTGAAGCCCAAGCGGCCCTGCCAAAGCCCTTGCCTAGTCCTTTCGAACCCGGACCCTTTGTCCTAAATGCCCTGCCCTGCCTGAAAAGCCAGTAGATCCTATCTTTTTGGTCTCAACTAAATCTTCGCGGTATGAGCCAACAGTCCAAGCCAAAACCCTAAAGCCTAAACCCCACACCCTAAACCCTAAACCCTAAACCCTAAACCCTAAACCCTAAACCCTAAACCCTAAACCCTAAACCCTGCAGCAGCCTCTGGTGGTGTCTTCAGCCCATCATCCTCGTCCTCCTCCTCGTGGGGTGACTTGGACCTGTGGGCGAGAGGTGGGTAGGGTTAGGGTTTGGGGTTTGGGGTTTAGGGTTTAGGGTTTGGGGTTCAGGGTTTAGGGTTTAGGGTTTAAGGTGGCAGACTCAATGTACCAAAGTGTACCCTTGTGTTCCACTTCCTATGAATTGCCAGAAGCTTTGTCAGCAATCACTGCGAGCGTCACATAGATGACACACCTGAGTGCACTTCTGTCAACACACATTTTCCCATGGCTGGTTCACTACCAGCAGGCCGAACCCCCGCCCCCAGGCTCCCCACACCTGCAAACAAGCGGTTTAGGGTCGCAAGGGTTGGGGTTTAGGGTTTGGGGGTTAGGGTTTAGGGTTCAGGGTTCAGGGTTTAGGGTTTAGGCTTTAGGGCTTAGGGTTTAAGGTTTAGGGTTCAGGGTGTAGGGTTTAGGGTTTAGGGTTTAGGCTTTAGGGTTTTGGGTTCAGGGTTTAGTTTCGGCAGGTACCCGCAGTGCCCTGGCCTGTGGAAGTCCGACTCCCGGGAAACCCGGAGCCTGTTCTCCAGGTCTTCCTTACAAGCGGCTCACTGGGACTATGGGTTTAGGGTTTAGGGTTTAGGGTTTAGGGTTTTAGCGTTTCGGGTTTAGGGTTTAGGGCTTAGGGTTTAGGGCTTAGGGTTTAGGGCTTTGGGCTTAGGGCTTAGGGTTTAGGGCTTAGCGCTTAGGGTTTAAAAGGGTACGTCCAAACGCAATGATGCCCAGTTCTCGACGATCGGCACGGCTTCAGTCCCAACCCAAAGTAACGTGCAAGACCCAACGCAACGTGGCATTCTGTAGTATATATATATATATATGTATATATATGTATATTAGGGTTTGGGGTGGGGTTACTGTAGTATACTTCCCTAAGGGAATTTGTAAATATTCCGACCCCTATATTACTTGGGCCGGACTGCTTGGGTCGGGGCGACATATCCGACCGATCCGCTGACACCCGAACACCCGACATAGTACCGAACTCCCAGCGTCCATGTCTTGCAAGTACTGGTGGACCACCTGCCGAGGCGTTGCCACACGCAGGGTATCAAATCTGAGGGTTCAGGTCGTTAGGGTTTAGGGTTTAGGGTTTAGGGTGTAGGGTCGAGGGTCTAGGGTTTAGGGTTTAGGGTTTAGGGTTTAGGGTTTAGGGTTTAGGGTTTAGGGTTTAGGGTTTAGGGCCAGGAAAGCTTTCAGCTCACGGCGCCTAAAGGCGACTGGCGACGAACTGCTTCACCCTTCGAAGTTCACAAACCCGAAACCCTAAACCCTAACCCTAAACCCCAAACCCGAAACCCTAAACCCTGAGCCCCCTCAAACCCTCGAGCCTGTTCAAGGACCTTGCGGAAATTTCCGGACACAGTCGCACCGATGTCGCCTCAGCGTAAAGGTTTCCGGAGACCCCGCAAGACCTTTGGAGGTAGGGGTTAAGTGTTTAGGGTTTAGGGCTCAGGGTTTAGGGTTTAGGGTTTAGGTTTTAGGGTTTAGGGTTTAGGGTTTAGGGCGTAAGGATATAGGGTCTGTGGCTCGGAGGCGGCTTCTTGGAAACAACCCAAAGTGAGACGTGAGCCAAGAAGGACACGAGCCCAGCAGGGGAGGGGGGATGGGGAGGAGGGAGAGGAAGGGACCCAAAACAGGCCCGAAACTCTCAAGCCCTGAAACCCTTGTGCAATGGGACCCTGAACCCTCAACCCTAAACCCCTTCCAAGAGACTTCGCCCGCCTCGACAACACCCTTGTCCCTAAACCCTAAACCCTGAACCCCTAACCCTAAACCCTAAACCCCAACCCCTAAACCCTAAACCCTAAACCTACATCCTAAACCCTAAGCCCTAAACCCTAAACCCCAAACCCTCAACCCTAAACCCTAAACCCCCTGAGCCAGGAGGCTCAGGGGCGCCGGGCCCAGAGACAGCAGCGGCGGGTCGGGGGTCGCGCTCCCAGGCATCTTGGGCAGCCCTTGGAGCGTCCCCGTCGGCGGCCTTGCTTTAGGGTGTAGGGGTTTAGCGTTTAGGGTTTAGGGTTTAGGGTTTAGGGTTTAGGGTTTAAGGGTTTAGGGTTTAGGGTTCAGGGATTAGGGTTTCGTTTGGGGCCTAGAGTTTAGGGTTTAGGGTTTAGGGTTTAGGGTTTAAGGGTTTAGGGTTTAGGGTTCAGGGTTTAGGGTTTAGGGTGTAGGGTTTAGGGTTTAAGGGTTTAGGGGTTTAAGGGTTTAAGGGTTTAAGGGTTTAAGGGTTTAAGGCTTTAAGGGTTTAAGGGTTTAAGGGTTTAAGGGTTTAAGGGTTTAAGGGTTTAAGGGTTTAAGGGTTTAAGGGTTTAAGGGTTTAAGGGTTTAAGGGTTTAAGGGTTTAAGGGTTTAAGGGTTTAAGGGTTTAAGGGTTTAAGGGTTTAAGGGTTTAAGGGTTTAAGGGTTTAAGGGTTTAAGGGTTTGGAGGGTTAGGGTTTAGGGTTTAGGATTTAGATAGGGGCTTTCAGGGTGTTAAGGGTTTGGGGGGTTTTGGGCCTGCGCACCGCGTAGTTCAGGCCTTTGGGGGCTCAGGGCCGCTGTGAACTTTCAAGCATGTCCGGGCGCGCAAAGACAGGAATCCTTCGGGTTTAGGGTTTAGGGTTTAGGGTTTAGGGTTTAGGGTTTAGGGTTTAGGGTTTAGGGTTTAGGGTTTAGGGTTTGGGGGTTTGAAACCCAAGGCACCCCCAAATCCCCTGCGCATCAAGGCCTCAAATCGACCCTTCCTCCAACCTCCCACGCCCGGAGATGTGACTGGTTCAGGGTTTAGAGGTTAGCGTTTGGGCCGGGGGGGGGCGGGGGGTGTAGCGTAAATAGAACCTATCACGGCACATGGGTAAAAGCCAACAGCGAAAACAAGCTTAACCCACATGCACTTCTTTGTATGAGGTAGGGGCGTTCTTGCCTCCCAAGAAGGCAGCAAGCATCTACACTCAGTGACATATGTAAGGCACCCTAAACCCTAAACCCTTTTGCCTAAACCCTAAGCCCTAAGCCCTGAGCCCTAAGCCCTAAACCCTAAACCCTAAACCCTTTTTTGCCCTCAGTCCGGCTGCAAAACCCTAACCCTAAACCCTAAACCCTACTAAACCCTAAGCCCTTTCTTTTCATCCGGACTCCGGAACCCTAAACCCTAAACCCTACTCTACACTCTACCTATCAACCCTCCTGCGCCAAGAAACAACAGGCTCGGCGCTGTCGATAAGGGAAGCCCCGGCTCCTTGCCCGACAGGTTTTGGGTTTAGGGCTTAGGGTTTAGTTAGGGCTTAGGGCCTAGGATTCAGGGCTTAGGGTTCATAGTTCATAGCGCCGGACGCTCTGCCCCCCCCCCCTCCCCCCGCCCCCTCTACCCGGACCCTGACCGGCGCCGTCGCCGGACACCCTCCGAAAAGTTGCGCCGCACACCGTCCGACCCTGTCCGGCATCCGTACCACGCTCCGAACAACGCAAGGAAACACTTGCACGCGAACTGTTCGACACGTAGCCTTTAACAGTGTCAAAAGCTCGCCGGCAAGTGTCAAAAAGTTCGCGGGCGAGTGAAAGACACTTGCCCACGAACTTCTTGAAACTTGCCCACGAACTTTGTGACACCCGGCCATCGAAGTTTCAAAAAAGTTCGCGGGCAAGTGCAAAAGAAAGTTCGCGGGCGAGTGAAGAAAAGGCACTTGCCCGCGAAGTCCATCAACAATTTCTTTAAAAGTGAAAAAGAGGTTTAAGGCTGAGGGGGCTTAGGGCTTAGGCTTGCGACTTTATGGGTTTAGGGTTTAGGGTTTGGGGTTTTTAGGGCTTAGGGTCTGTAGGGTTAAATCGGGTTGCGGGGTTTGTAGGGCTTCTAGTTTACAGGGCTTGACTTGAGGGGATCATAATGGCTGAGTGCTCAAGTCCGGTCCGCGAACAAGCTGGTGAGGGAAACTCTTGAACTTACACCCCCCCCCTAAACTCTAAACCCTAAACCCTAAACCCGCCCCCCCCCCCGAAGTTTAGGAAAAGATGGCGACTCCCTGAAGGGCAGCCCGTCAAGTGCGAAACCCTAACAAAAACCCTGCAGCCCCCATTCCTTTTTTGAAGCATGGACTAGACCCTAGACCCTAAAAGCTAAGCCCTAAAAACTAAACCCTAAAGCCTAAACCCTAAACCCTATACCCTAAACCCTATACCCTAAACCCTAAACCCTAAACCCTAAAAGGTCCCACAGACCCTTTTCTTTTGAAGCAGGGACGAATGGGCGGCTCCAGCACATCAGAGACTCGAGGCCGTAACAAACCTGACACCCAAGACCCTGTGAAGCCCAAACCCCTAAACCCTAAACCCCAAGCCCTAAATCCTAAACCCTAAACCCTAAACCCCATGCCTCAACCCTAAACCCTACAACTAAACACCGCCCCCCCCCCCCCCCCCCCAAAAAAAAAAAAAAAAAGATACCCAGGAGCGCCCCTGGTCAGAAATCTGTCCTCACAGTCGGGCACATTGGGCAGGTCATGGAATCCTGCGTCAGGTTTAAGGTCGTCGTGCTCTGGAACTCCAAGACGAAACCCTAAAGCTTCTGTCTTGCCGCGGGAATGCCCCCGCCGCCACCCGCGAACCAAGAAAATCTTAGGGTGGTTTCATGGTCCCTTCTTAAACAGGGACCCCTTACATATCTCTTATATACTTTTATACCCTCTACAACCCAAGGGCCCCATACTTCGGAAACCCCTTTAAGCAGGTAGGGACCATACTAAGGGCCCATGAAACTACCCACAGAAGAAAACACAAGAGCTTGAGCCTAGAAGTCTCACGACCCTACACGCTAAACCCATTTTGGGGTGAGAATCCCAGGCCTAAAGCCCCGAAGAATTGCGGCCCCACCCATCTGAAGCAGCTCATCTTGTACAAGTTGGGATGTTCACCCTTGTACTAACAGTCCTTAATAGGGATGATAGTACATAATCCTTATTGAGGACTGCTAGAATAAGGGGAACAGCCCAATGTCTCTGCCCATTTGAAAACCAGCTCTAGCACCATCGAGTTTTTGGTGGTTGTGAATGCACTTTTCAGAAGCAGGCCAAACTTTAAAGCCCCCTGACTCGCAGCTGGCAGGCTGGGGGCTTTGGGCTTCAGGGTGCAGGGTTCAGGGTTTAGGGTTTTTTTGGTAGGGTTTAGGGTTTAGGCTTTAGGGTTTGGGGTTTAGGTTGCAGGCCCTCTTAAAATGTAGTAATCGTAGTATGCTCCCTCTAGCAACCGAGAAAGGGGGCCCATCATATGAGGCTTACCGAAAAAACTCGGAGGAGTGCGCCCTTGTAGGGATTCCTACCCTAAACCCCAAACCCTAAACCCTAAACCCTCTTACCCTAAACCCTACCCCGATTTTTCGGAAGACCCCACGTCATATCGGCAGGCTCGGAACGCGCCTATGGGCGCGCCGATGGGCTTGGACGCCATGGCGCGCGGAACACCGGGCGCCCTCGCCGCCCGCCACAGCCCTCCCAGTCGAGCCAAGAGCTGAGGGCATTGAGCGGTTCGGGTTGAGGTTTTAGGGTTTAGGGCTTCCACCCTCTTATACTAAGAGTCCTTCATTGGGGGGGGGGGGGGGGGTAGCTAGAATCCCCTATTCAGGACTGCTAGTATAAGGGGGAGAAGCCCAAGGTTGAGGGATGAGGCCCAAGAGCAACCTAGGAGGTTTTTTTTTTTTGGCAATAAATCAAGAAATGTCCCAGTTTGGTTTAAAGTTTAAAGGGGTTTATAAGGGGAGCCTAGTTTGGGGGGGGGGGGCGAGGTTGAAGGGCTCACACCTCAGCTGAGCAAAGCAGTGAGATCTTGGGGCTTCAGTGGTTTAGGGTTTAGGTTTAGGGTTTAGGGTTTACTTAGGGTTTAGGGTTTAGGGTTAGGGCTGAGCTTGAAGGGGCCTTGAAGAGGGGGGAGGGCCTTTTGGGAGCTCTCCCAAGTCCCTTGCCGGACTCCCGAAAAGTTCAGGTCTTGGGTCTTCGGCCCAAAAAGCTTGCAGGCATTCGGACTGCTGGAACTTCAGGTCTCTTTCATCAACGGAACCCCCGTACAAATTACTCCCACTTCGAGGATCACAGGCAATTCTAAGTAGATTGCAGGCAGAAAATTCTGGAGCAACATATGCATCGAAGTGATGAGAAGACTTGTGGCTTATGACCCGACTAGTCTCACACCAAATGCCAAGTTTCACGAAGCCCTTCTTGACGCGAAATAACCCTAAACCCTAAACCCTAAACCCTAAACCCTTTTGCCTAGAACCTTCAAGCACACACACCCTCTCTCAGCCCTCCGAAGTCGTGGGGCCCCAGACTCCGGCTCGACAAGAGAGCCGCGGGTTCAGGACCGCCAGGATGTGACCGGGACGGGCCTGGGATTTGGGGTTTGGGGTTTAGGGTTCGGGGTTTCGGGTTTAGGGTTTAGGGTTTAGGGTTTAGGGTTTAGGGTTTAGGGTTTAGGGTTTAGGGTTTAGGGTTTAGGGTTTAGGGTTTAGGGTTTAGGGTTTAGGGTTTAGGGTTTAGGGTTTAGGGTTTAGGGTTTAGGGTTTAGGGTTTAGGGTTTAGGGTTTAGGGTTTAGGGTTTAGGGTTTAGGGTTTAGGGTTTAGGGTTTAGGGTTTAGGGTTTAGGGTTTAGGCTCCGCCGACCCTGGCGGCGTGTTGGATAGGTCCCCTACCCCCCCCTGCCCCGGACCCCCCCCGACCCCCCCCCCCTACCCCCACCCCCCACCCCCACCCCCCCCCTCCCCACCTTTCCCCCCACACTTCAAGGATCGAACAAATTGCCCCATTTGGGTCCTGGTGCTACCCCCTACCCCCCGCCCCCCCCTCCACGTTTCACAGAGGCGCGAGCGTTTCACAACTTTTTGGGATTCTGCCGAGCAGGCTGCGATGCTCTTCGAACCATGCGATGAGGAAAGCATCCTTTGAGCATCGAGCGGGTTTAGACCTTTCAACTATGCTCTGGCGGGGTCGGCGGCTTGAGCCGGAGGCTCTTAAATTTAGGGCCTGAGGCTGCACGGGCTTTGAAAGATTAAGGGATTGAGGGTTTGGAGTTTTACAGTGCTTTTCACGGTTTGGGGTTGAGGTTGGCGAAGGTTGCAATGGTTTCGGGGTTAGGGCTAGGGTTTAGGCTACGGTGTAGGGTATAGGGTTTAGGGTTTAGGGTTTAGGCGTGTAGGGTTTAGGGTTTAGGGCGTCTAGCATCGGCAATAACTACTGTGTGGAAATGGCACCCCCGACACACCCAGAAAAGGGGTGAGCGGCATGTCACTCGAAGGCACACGTTTCGTCCTTAACAATTTTCATTGGTTCTTTTTCACCTCCCCCCCCCCGCACTGTAACTTTCACAGGCAACCACCCAAACCATTGCCTTTCAGGGTTTAGGGCTGCCACCCTCATTTCCAAACATTGCCAAGATAAGCACGTAGCGGTTTCCAGACAGGCTCCAAAGGGCCTCCACTGGGCCTGCACCCCAGATTTCAACATTGTACTGCCTAAGCTGTCCGGTGGGAATTTAGGGTTTAGGGTTTAGGGTTTAGGGTTTAGGGTTTAGGGTTTAGGGTTTAGGGTTTAGGGTTTAGGGTTTAGGGTTTAGGGCTTCGAACCTGGGGGTGGGCCTTGCTGTCCTCAAGCCAGTGCTGCATCGCGCGGCCCAAGAAGAGGAGACCGGCCTGAAAGGGTTTAGGGTTTAGGGTTCAGCGTTTGATTTCAACTTCCTCTCTTGGGTGCACTGTTGGGTGGGGCTTAGGGGTTTGGGGGGTTTGGGGTTTTCAGGGTTATTCAGTGTTTACAGGGCTCAGGAAGTAGGCGGGTTCAGGGTTCAGGAAGTAAGGGATTATGGGTTCAGGGGTTTGGTAAATTACGGTTCTCTGGGCTTGGGACCCAGGTGGGAGAGGGCTTAGCCTTCAGGGCCCTAAGGCCGTACCAAGATTCTTTTCTTATGACGGAAATTACTCTTCTTTCTATGCTTGCTCCTGTGAAAAATATCCATAATCATCAGGAAGTGTAGGGTCTGGGGCTTAGATTGTTTTCATTGCGACGGACGGCAGGGGACGCGGAGAAACTCGGAATCTGGTCAGATGTGCAGAAGACGCGACCTGCTGTTTAAGCCCTCCCTGCGGTGCCAACCAGGCTTGCCGTTTAGGGCTTCGGGCTTCGGATGGTCCTTGAGTTCCAAAGGCCACCTTTTCCAGGGCGAGGTTCCGGCTCGGACAAGCCCTACCGACATCCCCCATGCTCCCAACCCTAAACCCTAAACCCTAAACCCTAAACCCTAAACCCTAAACCCTAAACCCCAAACCCTAACGACCGCCGGTTGCACCAAACCGGGGCCTCCGTCGGGGCATCCTTGTCCAAGTCAGTGAGGGTCCATTCCTTCACGGGTTCCGAACCCTACTTGGAGGTTCAGGGCACTTATGACCCTAAACAGGACTGTACATATAAGCCCCCGAATCCCCTAAGTCCCGTAAGTAGGTTATAGGTAGCCTCATGATTGGGGGTTTTAAGTAACCATGAACCTCCAAGTAAACCCTGGACCCTACTTCTCAGTGGCACGGTCTTTTAAGCCCGTGGCTTTAAGTGGCTTTAAGGAAGGTAAGGGTTCCTTCTATGCTGCATGGGGGATCCTGCTATGATTTAAGGTCCTTCAGGTAAGCGTTTTTGGAGCGGTGTTTTGGTTCGGGTCGGCCTCCCCCAACCCCCTATGCCCCTCTTACCCCCAAACATCCCCAAACCCAAAGCACATCTCCAGCCAGCCCAATGCCCCTCTATCCCATTACTTCACATCGTTCAAGGCACATTCTCATGAAGGAGATTCTGGCATCCGGGTTGAGGTACCTTCCTTATTCGAGCGGCTACAATTCATTTTGGGCCCGAATATCATGTGCATCCTCCTTCACTACGGAGCATTCGGCGCAAACCTAAACCCCAAACCCTAAACCCTAAACCCTAAGCCCTAACCCCTAAACCCTCAACCCTAAACCATAAAAGCCCTAAACCGTAAACCCTAAACCCCAACCCCTCAGCACACTCTGGGTGCTGAGCAAGGACTTGCTCGCCCTTGGCGTTGGCCACCGACTGCCGGGGTGCCGCGGCTACGACTGCGATCACCACCTGCTCTCCAAGGGCCCTAAACCCTAAACCCTAAACCCTAAACCCTAAACCCTAAACCCTAAACCCTAAACCCTACCCCTACTTGGAGGACTTGGAGGTTCATGAGTAGATATATTTGTGTTCCAAGTACGGATGCTAGAAGAATCTATCACCTCATGCTTATGTCTACTCATGTACCTCCCTTCAGGTTTAGGGGGGTTGTAGGGCATTTCGGGTTTAGGGTTTAGGGTTTAGGGCTCAGCTCTCTCATGGCTTGAGGGTTTAGGGCTTCGGGTTCGGGTTTGGCATGTGCCGGGTCTGCCCCATGTGGGCTATTCTGGGCCAGCCTTGTCCTTCCCCTGGGACAGCCTCGGGGAAGAGTTTGGGGGTTTCGGGCCGGAGGGGTTGGGGGTTTCGGGCCGGAGGGGTTTGCGGAGGCGCAAACCGGTCTGCCAAACGGCACGAATCCACAGCTGCACAGAAGATGCACGTCAACAGGGGCCCGAATGCACTGCACTTGGAGTCCTGAAATGGGCGCGGAATTTAATAAGGCGTTTTTTCTGGGACTTTTTTTTTTGGTTGGGGCTTTTGGCTTAGGCCCCGTACGCATTCCAATTCGTGAACGACAACCACCTCGATGCTTCCGCGTTGGGGGGGGGCGCAGCCCCCCCATTTGCAAACACAATGCTCACATGATGGGTTTCAACAAGATTCTTAGGCTTTGAAGCACGCTTTGCACGGCTTAAAAGAAGCGGGGGGATTTGGGGGGGGGGGGGGGGGGGGGGGGGGGGGGGCAGGCCCCCCCCCCAATTTGCAACCGATGCTCACACGATGGGTTTCAACAAGAGTCATAGGCTTTGAAGCACGCTTTGCACGGTTAACAAGAAAAAAAACGGGGGGGTGGAGGGGGGGGGGGGCCCCCCCCCATTTGCAAACACCATGCTCACATGATGGGTTTCAGCAACATTCATATGCTTTGAAGCAGGCCTTCCTTCCTTGCTTCCTTCCTTCCTTCCTTCCTGCCGTACGAAAGCAACAAAAACACAAAAAAAACATCAAAGAAAAAAACACAAACAAACAAACCCTTAAAACAATCAATTCTTCCTAAAATACCAAACTGATCAAGAAGAGGGGCTGCCGCGACCAGATTTGCCAAGAAGAAATGCTCAGGGTGTACACCGAATGCCACCCTAAACCTCCATGATCCTAAGACCATCTCAAAACCCCAAGGCTGCTGGGAAGCTGCTGGGTAAATATAAGTGAGACTTTTTCAGGTTCATGGGTTCAAGGTTTAGGGATGTTTTTGGGCGCCCGCCCTGCAGGAAAGCCATGCTGATGAGAGACCGTGGGCTTAGGGATACCCAACTTGGTACCCGAGGTACAGCTACAGTACCATACAGTATTCAAGGGGCCCCAAACCCTGAACCCTTAACCCTAAACCCTCCTGAACCCTAAACCCTGAACCCTAAACCCTTAACCCTAAACCCTAAACCCTGAACCCTAAACCCTGAACCCTAAACCCGAGTGGCAGCTGAGTGCTGGGCAGCCTGGCGAGGTGCCGCAACGGCACCAGCTCCTTGGTAGGGTTTGATCACCCACGTGTAGGGTTTAGGCTTAGGATTGTTGACAGTGTACGATTTCGGGTTGAGGGTTTGGGTTGATTTTTTTGTCTCTTCGGGTTTGGGCTTTGGGGTTTAGGGTTTGGCCCTAGCTACACACTAACCCGCAAGCCCAAAAATTTGGAGCTGATGGTTTCTCTGGCTGCCAAGAAGCTAGGATAAGCCAGAGCCTGCCCCCCCCCCGCTCCAGAAGCCTTCAAACCCTAAACCCTAAACCCTAAACTCTAAACCCTAAACCCTAAACCCCATATACATATACATATATATATATGTATATATAACTTCGAACCCTCCAAGATAATCATGGGGCGCCTTGCCGCTCATGGAGGCATCCCACTTGTCCTCCCCCAGGGCACTGACTGGTTCTAAGGCTTCGGGTTTAGGGTTTCGGGTTTAGGGTTTAGGGTTTAGGGTTTAGGGTTTAGGGTTCGGGTTTAGGGCTTAGGGTCTAGGGTCTAGGGTCTAGGGTTTAGGGTTTAGGGTTTAGGGTTTAGGGTTTAGGGTGTAGGGTTTAGGGTTTAGGGTTTAGGGTTTAGGGTTTAGGGTTTAGGGTTTGGGGTTTGGGGTTCGGGTTTAGGGCTTAGGATTTAGGGCTTGGGGTTCGCGGAGCGGCAAGATGCTCGAAGTTTTCTACGCGCACAAAGTGGGGCAAGGGTATGCGCGGCCAAGGATCCCAAATGCAGACCAGCCACATGCCTTCTTGGAGGATCGGGGCACTTGTAACCCTAACAAAGTCCCCCTAAGTCCCCCAAGTAGGTGATAAGTAGACTCATAATTGGGTTATGAGTAGCCATGAACCTTCAAGTTTGAAGCATTTAACACTTTCGGAAGCAAGAACTGGGAATCTGGGAAGCAGCTCTGGGATTGAAACTGGCGTCTTCTCTTCCTTTTGGGGGAATCAAAGTGCTGGCAACCAGGGCCTTTCTGTTGCCTAAGTGAAGATAGAGATTATGGTCTGTGTAGGGATCCCTAACATGCACTGGCAAATGCAAGCGCTCTCGGGGAGTTGTGTTTTGGGCTGCTTCTCTGCTGGAGCCACTGGTTTCTCTCAACTTCCGCCGCGGCTCCTGACGAATAAGTCGGTCAGTGATTCGAAGCCTCTTGCATCAAGTGTGGGTTTAGGGTTTAGGGCTTAGGGCTTAGGATTTAGGGTTCAGGGTTTAGGGTATTAGGGTTTAGGGTCAAGTGTGGGTTACGCATGGAAACAGCCCGGGCCCAAGACCTGGTGATTTTCTTGCCGATGAAGATTAAGCAGCTACGTATCCTTAACCCATAACCCCCTTGGAACCTGAATTACAACAGCATTCGATTCTTAATCTTCCTTTGGGTTTTACAAAATTGAAAATTGACAATAGAGGGGCTATAGAGATGTTTTTCAGAGGAGGGCCCGTCGCAACGATAACGATAAGGCCGGCGGCCTGGTACTTAAGGGACTTACAAGTGTGCTATAACTACACGTCTACTTGGGATAAACCCTAAACCCTAAACCCTAAACCCGAAACCCGAAACCCGAAACCCTAAACCCTAAACCCTAAACCCTAAACCCTGAACCCTGAACCCTGACCCTAAACCCTAAACCCTAAACCCTAAACCCTAAAGAGGAGGGGGATTGAGCCGGGGGCCCCACCCGGACCATCTCTCCGTGGCCAGCGCCAACTCGGCCTCCTCCCGGGCTTGCTCGGCCTGCTCCCGGGCTTGCTCCTGGGTTTAGGGTTTAGGGTTTAGGGTTTGGGGTTTAGGGTTTTGAACGGAGTTTAAGGCAGAACTAACACTGCAGGTGCAATCACTTTTGACGGCTTGAGCCAATGTCGCATGTGTATGCTCACTCATTGTGAAACATGTTGTGTGACACCTACAAATCTAAACACCCCTCCTAAGCCAGGTGGTCATTTGACCCATTGGCTTCACACGAGCCGTTTGGCTGCTCCGGCTCGTCCAACATGAAAACGCAATCCCATGTTCTTGAGGTGTTTGAGCATTGCCACTTCGGGCATTGGTTTGGTGCAGATGTCGGAGTAGTTCTTCTCCGTGCCTACACGCTCTAGCTCCAGAGCTCGCGTGGCGACTTTCTCTTGCACCCACAAGTATCTTGTTTGCACGTGGCGTGCTTGACCCAGGCCCTGGCGCTGGGTAGTGCCTCGGGCCGCCGAGGAATCAGATCGAATCCGCAGACCGACCTTTAATCCCCAGTCTTCTAGCATCGCCTGTAGCGACAGACCTATTGACCCTGCTCGAACTATAGCGTAAAACTCGCTCTCTCCACTCGAGAGGGAGATCGTGCTTTGCACGTTGCTTGAGTGTTTCACGCAGTGCGATCCAAGCATTGTCACTAGTCCCGTGGTTGACCTCCGCGTGATGAGGCAACCAGCGTGGTCTGAGTCGCAGTACATCACAATCTCTTTGCTGAACCGTTGCGGGTGGTACTCGTAGATCAGCCGTGGATTTCCGCGTAAGTAGCGGACAAGCCTCTTCAGATCGGCCCATGCCCACTCTGTGGGTTCTTTCATGTGCCGTGCTAAGCTTTTCGTAGCCTCGGCAATGTCTGGACGGTCCTGCGCAAGGAACGCTGCCCTCATCGCATGAGACTGATATGCTTTCTGAAGTTCGGCATTCAACGGCTGTGCTTCAAGCATCGCTTTCAGGTCACTTCCCTATTTCTTTTCTGCTGGCGTTTTGGCCGCCTTCGCAGACTCCAGTCCAAGGTCGCGCACTAGGGCTTCCGCGTGCCTTGGATCCGCTTCGTACGAAACAGTTCCTGTCTGGCTGTCATAGCTCACGACCCGGTTCAGGACAGTCATGCTGTCCTTTTCACACTCAGGTCCTATGTGGCCATCACACTTGAACTCGTACTCTTCAGACAGTACTTTGTCTACAAAGCGATGTCCATCTTCGTCTGCCAAGACTAGGAAATCATCCCCATGCACCAATAATCTCACGTCGGCTTCGGCATGATAAAAGGTACACGGATATGCTTTTCCCACGACAAACCCGTGCTTGCGTAACAGGCTTGTGTACGATCTCTGCCATACAGCTGAGGCATCACGGGTGCCATACATGGTCCGTTTCAACAGACCACAAAAGCCGGGAGCTTCATCTCCCTCGGGAAGTGTGACAAACACACGTCGTTCTGCTTTTCCATAGAAGTGTGCACGTGATATGTCTGTCAGCTTCAGCGTGAGCTTCTTTCCGCTCTTTGACCTCTTGAGTGTCGTCAGCAGACTGCATAGGATCTTCAATCCTTCCAGAGGTGGCATTGAGGAAAACAGCGTAGTCTGGTATCAACGCCGCTTGTCCCTGTGACTTGACCTCGCGGACTACCAAACGACTGCGGTAGTTTTCCCGAACATCATCCCCTTTGTTGCGGTCTACCCACTTCAAGGTTATGGGCGGACGACCTGTTTCGTCCCAACACACGCTCTCTTCGACTTTCTCGTACACACCTTGCTTTTTCACCCAGGCAAGTTCTGACGCTCTTGCTTCCGCAACCTTTTTGGCATCAAGTTGTGCCCCTGTGTTTGCGTCTATGACGGGCTCGCTTACGTGAAGCTGCCCAGCCTTGGGTAAGGTGTCATGGAGATACTCTTCGAGCGGTGGCTCCTCGTGTGGGTCAGGTCCACCCACATGGCCCACCTCCTTCATTTCTCCATCCAGAACCAGTTGTGCCCGCACTCCTGCCAGTAGTGCTCTTTCAAGCTTCGGAGGATACTCGGCCTTGGCCGTCACGATCCCCTCCTTGAAGCTTAGCGTTCGGTTCCACACCTTCGCATTGCCCTTGCATAGCTTTTCCAGCGCTATTGCAACCGTCGCCGAATTAGTAATCCAGCGGGTTCGCTTCTTGCCGGATTGGCCTGCAATCATTTTTCCACTTTCGTCAACTTTCCACTTGCACATTGGGCCTTCAACCAAGTACGAACCCATCCTTTGAGCAAGTTCATGCTCCCAGGACTTAGTTCCCCTTGGGCACTCATAGAGAAAGTAGTTTCCGGCTTCCTTCTGTGCCTCGAAGGCCTCAAAGCAAAGCCCCAGTTGAGATCGGGCCTTCCTCAAATTTCCGCGTTTGGTCTCGACTCCAATCTTGTTGGTCATGTCGAAAGCACGTTGTACTGACTGGAAGGGTCCAGTGGGCAGCTTGCCCACCAGAAGCTTTGGCTTCACTTGTTCCAGCTTTTCGAAGAAACGCAAATGCTCAGCCTGAGCGAACATCGGCGGCTCTTGGTCCATTGGCAAGATAATGCCTTCATTCACCATGCTCCAGGGCACAGCTGAATTGCCATTACCTCCCAACTGTAGAACCATAGAGTTTATGGCCTTCGCTTCGGTCGGGCTGCACTTGAGCCCCTTTTGTTCGAACATCCGCGTAATCAGGTTCATTCGCACTTCCTCGTTGGCTGGCGGCGGATTCGCCGTTGCTGTGTCGTACATTTCTGCATCTGCTCGTGCTTGTTGGTGTGAGTGGTCCAGGCCGGGTCCTGCAGAGCCACTTGCTCCCCCTTGCACGTGTACTCCAATGACCTCGACATCTGGACCATCGGTAGCCCTCGTGCTGGGCTCTTCCTGGTAAAGGTCCTCGACGTCCTTGGATGCTGCGCGCTTCCGCTGTTTCGGCTCGGCGCGGTCCTCGACCTCCATTGGTCTGGACAAAGGTGCGCCTGCCGCTTCCTCTGCTGCAACATCCATTGCGTCGGGGGCAGGTCTTCCTTCCAGCGCGGGTTGGTCTCTTTTGACCCGCTTTCCGTAGTCCTTTTCAACTCGCTCTTGGGCCCTTTTCACTCTTTCTTTTCCCTCGTCAGTTTCTTGCAGTCTTCTCTGCACTCTCATCCTGCACTCGTCATTGTGCGCTCGCTGCGGGAGACCCATCAGCTGCGCATCGCATCCCGGACACTGAGGCGTGTAGCCGTACAGCTCAATGTCGGACTTCATGACGTACAGGTTGCGTGCCTTGAAGTCTCGGTGTTGTGGCGCGGGTTGTTCGCCTTCGAGAGCGGGCATACCGACTCGGTTGGGCGACGCTCGCTCTTGTGGACCGGACATCCTCCAAGGCAATCCGCGTAGCACGTCGAAACCTTCAACAGGCCATTTCTCATCCTCGGGCCTCCTGTGCAAGGAGTGGCCCCGGGATATACCCTCGGACGTCATGATCAGCAAGTCTGCGTTCCTCGACGCAGTTCCGACGTAACGTCCCATGCAAACTCTTGCATCTAGGCTTCCTCGCTTGTGTCTCGAACCAACTGGCTTGAACATCACCTGTTCGCCAAAGACAATGGTAGGTCGCCTCCACGGTCGGCCCAGCGTCCTTTCGTAAGCTGACTTCCCGTCTTCGCCAATGCGAAAACGTGTCATCAAGAACGCTGCATGCCTCGCGATCCAGGCGAGAATCGGGTGGTCCACGCCCACCTCGATCTTAAGCTTTGTCTCCAGCTCCGACAGGATAGCTCGGACCATTCGCTTCACCTCTCTCACTGCGGCCTCGGCTATGCCGTTCGATGGCGCATTCTCGTGTTCCGTACTTGTAGGACTCTCTCTCAAGTCGAACACTACATTTTGGACTTCTTCGGAGGCCTTGAGTTTGAGCGCACGGAGGGCGTGTTCATTATCTGAGAATAAACACATCCTCTTCCATCCGGCCTCGCGTATCACGCTGGCCAACCACGTGACGTTGTACGCATGCGTGCCTTTCTCGGGCAACGAAGTTGCCCAAGTGCGCTGCGTTTTGTCGCACCGAACCACCAGGTGCGGCATCACGTCGTCTTCCTGCTTTTCTTTGCCCAGGAAGAAGTAGTCCATGTGTAGCGTCGGCAAAGATGTCTCAAGTTCGGCTCTCCGAATCCGGTAATGTGGATTCACCATCTTTCGTGCTCTCTGGCAGTGGACGCACCAGGAACGGTGCACCGCGTGCCCCGAGGCTTCGTGCTGTGCGATCTGGTCAGCCGTTGGCTGGTCTGGGCTCTTCGGCACTATCGCCCTCTGTTGTTCTTCGCCTGGAGCCTCCGGCTCCTCGGCAAAGCGGTCGTCTTCAGTGCCTCCTTTTTCCTCGCTTGGCTGCTGCTGCTGTTGTTGCTGTTGTGCTGCTGGCGCTGCTGCTGGCACTTGTATGCTTGCGCTTGCTCCTTGTTGTGTCGTTTTCCTCTCTTTCTTCTCTCGCTCTCTCTCTCTCTCTCTCTCTCTCTCTCTCTCTCTCTCTCTCTCTCTCTCTTCTTGTCTTCCTTGGCTAACACCTTGAGCGTTGCCTTCCCGGCGGCTTTCCTTTTGGCCGCTTCCTCAACCATCTCAGCCTCTTCGTCTAGGGGTGAAACGCTAAGCCCGTTGGGCCTTACACCGTCTACGGACGCCCCGTGAAACCCAGGCCGTCTTGGCCCTTGCTTCCGCCCTTCACTCCTTTCTTCTCGTCTTGCAGAGGAAACACGTAGATGCCGTTCTTCACTTGCATCTTGGTTCCGACACCCTTGTGCTTCCAAGCCAACTGGCGCAACGCCTCGTCGGCCTCCTTAGCGAAAGCAGTTCCTTTTGGGACCAGCAAGCCTCCTGTTCCGTGCAGAAACGCAAAATGCGTCTTGCACGCTTGTGCTCCTGACAGGAGTATGCGGTGGACCCCGGCGCCTCGGCCGGTGATTGTGGCCCCACGGCCTCCCGACAAAGTGCCGGTGACCTCGGCTTTTCCTTGGTCTTTCAGCGCCTCACCTGACGCCGTCTTGTAGCGGACGCCGTTGTCCTTTGGCTGCGTCACGTACTTCTCAGGCAGAACGGTCACGGCCGCTCCCGTGTCAAAGTTGACCTCGACGCTAGCCACGCCTGGCGAAGCGCCCAGGCTGGCAGCATCCACGGTCTCGAAGCTGTGCACCGATTGGTGCACGCCTCCTTCGCCCGGGTCCTCCGGGTCTTCTCCTCTTGGGTCACGGCGGTCGTCGTAGTCTTCACAGTGCACAGTCTCTTCGTCGTCGTCTTCGCTTTTCTTGACCTTCTTCTTTCCTTTGTGCTCTGGATCCCAGGTCGACCCAAGCTTCCTCTTCAGCTTGTTGCGCCTTTGGTTTCTCTTTTGGTTCCTCTTCTTCTTCTGCTCGGCCGCAATCGACGGGTCCGCCGAGTAGCGCCCGGTCGCCTTCGGCCTTTCCTGCTTTTCGAGCTCCTTCCGGTAGAGCTCCTCCTCGTCGTCGGCATCCACGCGGTGGCTCGTCCTTTCGGCTTTCGTGAGAGGGCGGTAGTCCTTTCGCCGCTCGGGCTTGGCCTCCGTCCCATCGCTGTGGATAACCTCCGTGTCGATGCCGTCGACCTCTTCCTTCTGGTTATCGCGGAAGTCGCCCTTTTTCACTTTCACGTCGTGCCGGGCGTGCCACTTCTTGTCGGCCTCGATCCTCTCCTTTGCTCTTTCGCCCACACCGCTGCGTCTGTGCTCTTGCGCTCTCCTTCGTCCCTTTTCCGCACGCCAAGCCTTCCAGTGGCTGTCTCCCTTTTCCACTTGGCGTTTGTAGCGCACGTCGTGCACCGACTGGTCTCTGCGGTGTTCGGGTTCCTTTTTCTTCACGCCCGCTTGCTGCGCCCTGAGGCGCTCACGCTCCTCTTTCAGGCGCTTCCGCTCGTCTTCCAGGCTCGCGATCTCGGCTTCCAGCTCTGGGTCACTGCCGCGTCCCTCGAGCTTCTCTCTCTTTGTCGCGATCCTCTGGTCCAAGACCGCGAGGTTCGCACGGTTGGTCTCCATAAGACCCGACGCTAGCATCCTCTGCATGCTGCTCGAGGTGCTTGCCGTGATCGCGGTTGCTCCTTCGGTTCCTTCTTCCTGCTTTGGTGGCTTCTTCTTTTCTTCCTTCTTGGGTTCCTCGGGCCCCTCGCTTGGAGGGTCATCCTCGAAGTCGCTTTCGTCCTCGGAGCTCTCCGGCTCCAAAGAAAACTTGTCTTCTTCTTCTTCACCAGCGGCTTCTTCCTCCCTTTGCTTCACCTTCTCGGCTACCTTTGCGCTCCTCAGTTCAGCCTTGCTGGGCCTGTCGGCCCTCACAAGCTTTTCTCTTTCGAAAACTTTCCTGGCGTAGTGGGAGCCCGCTGCTTTTGCAGCTGCTGCCTTGTACTCTTTCATCCTCTTCTTCAGCAGAAGGGACGCTTTGCTCCTGAACTTCAGTCGCCTCGACACGCAGGTGGAGCAGGCCTCGCCTTGCTTCTTCAGTAAGGACTCCCCGACGGTGCCTCTGGGCTTCTTGTCTCGTATGGCATCTTGGTGGGCCACACGTTCCCTGAAGCGCATTCCTGCCCAAGACGCCGGACTCCTTAGAAGCTTTGGCTTTGCCTTCGCCACAGGTCTTTGGCTCCTTGAGGCTCCCCACTTCGGCGCTGTGGTAGCAAGTTGTCTCTCCACCTCTTCGCTTCTTGGCTGCACTTCTTCACTTCTAGGTGGAGGCTTCGAAGGTGGTGACTTTGGTTCTGTTCTCTTCGGCTCTACCTTTGGCTTCGAAGGTGGTGACTTTGGTTCTGTTCTCTTTGGCTCTACCTTCGGCTTGAGAAGCGGACTTTTGGTCCTGGAAGGCGGTGGTGACTTCGGCGGTGTTCTCGGCCTCTCTTGCTTCGCCTTTGGAGGGGTCTTGGGCTCAGGCACTGGTGGCTCCCGGTAGCGCGAAACGCGCTTCCAGGGTGCCGTGTCCAAAGCCTTAGACCTCACCTCCTTCTTCTCCTCTTTCTTTCCGGCCTTTGGCTCGCGCACTCTCTCCGGAGGTCCTCGCGACGAAGACGAAAACGCTCCGAAGCTGGACTGCCCTGGCACCTCGCCGCGGGAACGTCTCCTGGCTTCTGCCAGCTCTTCCGCTTCCTGAAGAAGTCTTTCCTGGCGACGTTTCCTCGCAAGTTCCACCTTTTCCTTCAGGTCTTGGAACTGACCCCTTGCTCTGTCCATTTGCTCTTCCAGAGCTTCCAGCTCCTTTTCATCCTCGTCTTTTTCCTCCTTTGGAGGAACCTTCCTTTTCGGGTTCTTTGGCGCCATGGCCCCAAGCACGGTCGGGCCGGAGCCCTCTTCCCTACTTGAGCCACGACTGCCGGGGTCTGGCTTCGACTCTTTCTTCTTCTTCTCTTTCTCTCTCTTCGGGCTCTCTCTTTCTAACGCTCCCACGTAGAGGTTGTTTGTTTCTGCTTCCTCCCAACCGTCCTCCCAGGTTTCTCCCCAGTCTCCGTCTTCCCAGCCTTCATCCTCTTCTCCTTCCTGCCAGTTCTCGTCCTGGTTTCCTTCTCCTGTGTTCTCTCCTCCTTCTTCTATGTTTCCTACGTGTTTCTTGTTCTTGCCACCTTTCTTGCCTTTTCCCTTTTTGCCTTTTCCTTTCTTACCTTTTCCTTTGTCCTTTCCTCCTTTGGGGCTCCCTCTTCCTCCTTTGCTGCTTGGTTTTCCTCCTTGTTGCCCTGGACCTTTGGGTGAGCCCCGTTGCTGCTGCGAACCTTTGCCTCCATTGCTCCAGCAGTCGCGGGCATAGTGTCCGCTCCTGCCGCAGTTGTGGCACACGACCTTGCTTGCTCCTTTTCCTTTGCCTTTCTCCACATACGACAGGTCCATAGGATCATCCTTGCTCGCCGCACTGGCTGCGGCTGCAGAAATCACCTTCAGACTCTTTCCTGTCTTGTACTCGATGAAGCGAGTCACCTCGTCGAGCACGTCGTCGTACGTGGAGAACCGGCTCTGGTTCAACTGGATGTGAGACTCCAGCTCCTGTGGCAACATTGCCTCCAGTGCTGCCATCTTTATCTCATCAGCCAGGGTCGTTCGCCGCCCTGTGCTGTCCTTGCGCTTTTCGTAAGTGCGCACAGCGTCGGCCCATTCTTCGATGGCCTGAGGGAGATTCTCCAGCTTCTGCTTCTGGGGCGATATAATCGCTCTCAACATCGTGCGCTTCCTGCTTGCAGTCGCAGGATCGTATCGCCTCGTAAGGCGTCTCCATGCCTCGAACCCGTTGTTCTGGCAATTGCACACGATCGTAAATGGTTCCTTCGAGGTAACCATTTGGAGCGCGTTCGCGAGCTCCCTCGACTTTTCTTGCAGTCTGGGAACTCGATCCGCCTCCAACGCCTTTTCTCCAAAGGCTGTGTCCAACTCCTCCGAGGAGAATGGCTTCTCCCTCTCTTCGAGCCACTCTAGAACTTCTTGCAGATCATGGTGGATCGAACAAACGTAGCTCGACATTCGATGCCTCCATGGTAGGAACTGTTCACTCTCACCTGAGAAGGTCGTCGGCTTTCCCAGGCCCTTTGTGTCGACCAAACAAAGCTTCTCGTTTGGTCCTCCTTTCTTTGCCATGGCCTCAACCAGTTCCTTGTTCGACTTGACCATGTGAACCCTGAACCCGAAACCCTAAACCCCAAACCCTAAACCTGTTTAGATTTGTAGGTGTCACACAACATGTTTCACAATGAGTGAGCATACACATGCGACATTGGCTCAAGCCGTCAAAAGTGATTGCACCTGCAGTGTTAGTTCTGCCTTAAACTCCGTTCATGGTAGCGGAGCTGTCGGTTTGAATGGACAGCAGACGCGACCTTGCTGACGAAAGTGCTGAAAGTGACAACGAAGGTTTTGCTGTGGTGCAAGCTCCCGCTGTGCACCGCTGGGAACGCTTGATCCGTTTACTCTATCGGATTAGGCGACTGCAAAGGATTTGGGGCCTCCTGGGCCAGCATCTCCAGACTTTCGTCCAAAGCAGCGAGTTCCGCCGTCGGCTGGCTAATCGTCTGCGATGAGCAGCCAGGAACAGCAACAGGCGCAAGTGACTGCAGCGCATGCAGGAGCTTGTGAATCTGAGAAACGAACTCACAAGGCAACGCGAAGAGAATGATCGGCTAAGGGCCGAGCAAAGCACAGCACTTGAGCGAGTGCGGCAAGAGAGTGCAGCTCAAGTTGCGGAAGTGCGAGCACAAAGGACTGCAAAGCATTTTTGGGCTTTTGGTTTTTGAGGTTTTGGGTTTTGGGGTTTTAGGTTTAGGGTTTAGGCTCTTTGGCTTAGGACTGCAGGTGGCCAAACAAACCAAGCATGAAGAATTTGGGCAACCGGGGTTTCGTTTGGTGACGAATGCGCGTCGAACGCGCACGCACACACACACACACACACACACACACACACACACACACACACACACACACAGATCCAGGGACTCTGAATCACAGAGGCTCAGGGACGGCAAGGTACCTTCAAAAGCTGCCATCGCCACCCTCCGCCAGGCGGCTGTTTCTGCCTATTCATGCACCGACGTCCTCTCGAAGGCGGAGGGCACGTTGCGCGCAAAGGTCCTGGAGCCGCGCCTGCGCCACATCTTGGTTCATTGAACCCCAGGAAACAGTCACGAGTCGCAGATTTCCTACCAGAAGCTCCCGGCTTTGCGAAGCTCGCGTTCTGCAGCTGCGCTGCCGGCGTTGCCACCGCCGTCCTGACAGAGGGTTGCTTCAAAGCTTAGCACGCCGAATCCACGAAGTTTGCAACAACGCATAGACAAACTCGTGGCAAAGGCCAATACACCCACCGTCCTGGGCCATCGGTGATCACAAGGCCAACATGATCACCCTATGATTTTATGCGTTCTTGCTTGTTGTGGTTTGATGTTGGGCCTTACACAAAAACGCAGCTCAGATCATCTTGGCAAATGTTTGGTTGTTCGGCTCACATCACCCCCTGACACGAGCCGCACGCGGCAGAACCAAGAACAACATGTTGCTTTACTCACGCACCATTTTGTGGCCCTGGTTCAAACCCTTACTTTTTTCAACCTTTCCTACTGGCCTGCCCCCCTCCCCCGCTGACAATCGATCACAGTCGAGGCTCAAACAAAAGAAAAACGTTGCGGTGGGAGGGACCGGAGCGCGCACCGCGCACACGGCGAGAAGACCGGCTTGGCGAGCGAGGGTCTGTTGCAAATGTGCCTCGATGGCGGGACTGCGATGGGAACACCTAAAGCAACGAGACCGCGCTGTTCCGGGCTCGCAGCAAGGTCACCAACCGGTCACCAACCCACACAAAGGACTCGGGCGCGAGCTGCTGCACCCCATCCGGCACAATGGCAAGCATGCCCGTTGCCACATCAGCGCCTCAAGGCGACGGCATACGAAAGCAACTTCTTTTTTTCATGTTTTTTTTTGGCACGCCAGTTTTCCTCGCAGCTGTGTGTCCCAAGTCGGCTGGAGCTGCTACGGGCAAGCTGCGGGCGCCTTCTCAGGCGCGCAGCGGCAGGCGGCTTGCGGCCACCGGGAACACGTGGCGTGCGTCCGCCAACACATCAGCCAGCGGCGGCTCCGCCCCGTCACACTCGTCTGCCCTGTCCAACGGCAGCTCAAGGAGTGACAGGGCGAGAGCCCGCTGCGCGGCGACAGCCAACATGCCTGTCCAGCGGTGACCTGCCGCCTGTCGCCGCAGCCCGAAGCCACGGCGGCGCCGCCCGCGCTTTGGAGGTGGCCACGCGGCGGAGGAAATCCGCCATCTCGGCGCCAAAGCGCCCGCCCACCTCGACCGCCAGCACCACCAGGCGACCCGGGTACGTGGTTTGGCGTTTCCGGCGTGCTGCGTCCGCCGCCGCTTTGCCCGGCACGCGGTCCGCGCCCGCTCGCGCGGCGCCCGTCCCGGCCTACGAAGTGGTGTCGACCGCTGCCTGAGCGCCCTGCCATAACGGCAGCCCGTTCGCCAGCACCTCGATGCGGCGAGAGTCCGCGAGTGGCACGTCGACGTTCATGTCGCACAGGAAAACATTGGTGCTACCCGCGCCCCGCCTTCACGGCAGACTCTGGCAGTTGCTCGCTCTGAAGGCGCGCCACGCGGGCCCAACACGCCCGCAGTGGGGCACGCGGCCCTGTGATCCCCCAAAGCGTCCAAGGTCCCGCCACAGCGACAGCCGGCGTATGGGGCAATGGGAGGCGTAACCACCGGAGCAACAGGACGCGCATGGAGTCGGAGGGCATGCGGAATTCCGAGGCGGTAGGAAGCACGGTGAGGGCGCGGGAGTGTTTTTTTTCTCCCACGCCTTTTTAGGAACGGTCGCCGCGGTCCCAGTGCAAGCGCTACCAACTACGGCCCCTGGGCGCGGAGGTAGTCAACAGCATGGGTTGCTGCGACAACACTAGTGGAGCCAGCAGCGCCAGGATCGGCAAGCGCCTGGAAGGGGTTGTCGGCTGGCAGGGAATTGGCCCAGAATGCCCAGTAAGCGGCGGTGAGCGCTGGGGAACATTGCGCAACAAGAAATTCGACGGCGGTATGGCACAGTCGTGCACGGTGGGGATGCTGCGCAATCGCCCGTGTTCAGCACGCGGTCATGCAGGCTCCCCGCCCGCCCCTTGCAAGTGAGAGATGCCGGTGGTTCCTCGCCAGCGGCGTTCCAAATGTGGGCCTTGCCCCTGTTGACCTGGACCCGGCGTGGGCCTGCAATTTTGCCTCGAAGGCATCCAGCAAAAAGCGAATCCGCTCAGGTTCCCTGGATGTAGTTCGTGGTCTGATGTAGCTCATCTGCCAAGATGGCCGTCATACCCACCGTTGTCCCTTGTCCTGAAAGGGCCGTAGTCTTCGTGACTCGGACGGGCAAACTGCAAAGTGCAAAGTGCTCAAGCGCGAGCGGCAGTTCACTTTGGCAACGCCTGTATAATCCTGTAAATCCACGGACTGTGCCATGACGCGATGCCTCGATCATGCCTATGAGGCACCGGGGACCAGTGCATGCGGGCATCAGGAAGCTCGACAAAGCCCATGGCAAACTCTGCCAGGCGTCGGCAACACACCGCACGAATGTGTAAGGGGCTCTGTCGAATCGGCGGAGGAGAAGGTCCTGACCGCGTGATCGCGGACGATCGCATTCGCAGCGCTGTGCGTAGTGGTCTCACTAGGCATCGCGCTCTCAAATGTAATCGATCGCAGCACGGCAGTTGGGACTGGCCGTGCAGGAAACAACACAAATGGGTGCACGCGCCGCAACACGGAAAAGTAACGTCCTCGACCGTCTGAGCCCTGGGCGACTCGAAACACACCACGCACGCCCCCGTCTCGAGTGGGGCAAACTCAGGCGTGATGGCACCATCGAAGCGAGCCGCCTCAAAGGAGGACGATGGCGGGACACTTTTGGGTGCTTCATCACGCAGGGTATCTCGAAGGGACAGCATCCGAAATGCAAGGGCTCCGCACGTCGGGCGTGCGCTGGTCCCCAAGGGCGTCGACACGGCACTCACAGTATCACCAAGTGTGTTCACACGCGTGCATTCATGCATTTTTGATAACCGCCGAGTGAACACATTCATTCCCGTGCAAAAATTAGCCCAAAATGAAAGGGAAATTACAAGGAAGAATGAAGCGTGAATTTACCGTTCATGTTGTCGTTTTTTTCGGCACTCTTTTCTCACTTGTAAAAAAACGCGTCGTTCATTCCTTGTCAATTGGTGCTATACCGTGAGAAGTGCATATTTGCAATATAATCGTAAGAGCTGGAAAGAAACGCGTGAGTTATATGCATGGAGGCGTGAACGAAAAGAAGACTGAGGCGTGTGAGCTAGACTGAAGAGCCTTGGGGTGGTGAATCATCGTCTACTCGTGAAAGCACCATGCTTCTATGCACAGAACCCACGTGCGGACTGCTGCAGGAATGCGAGATGTCAACCCTGCTGGCCGAGGAATCGGACCATCTCCTGACTGGCACCGCAGCTTGCTGGACGCGCCGGCAGAATCCAGCACACAAACGGTTGGCCGTACACATCCAGAATCATCCAGATATCATCATCGGAGAATGAAGGAGACAACTTGAGTGATGTCCTTACACGCAACTGCTGTGCGACGGATGAAAGCAACATCCCTGGCCGCGCGTCGGAACGTGAAGCGAGATGTCATAGCAGGAGATCACGGGGTGACGGATGAATGCATCGTCCCCTGCCGCGCGTCACAGCATCCAGCTTCTGCGAATTTCGACCGCTCGGATACCGATGGGGAAGGAACCACCACCAACCCCTCACAAGCGTCACAGCATCCTGCTTCAACTCAACAGATGTCATAGTAGGAGACAAGTGGGTGACACATGAATGTCACGCCCCGTTGCCTCGCGTCACAGCATCTGTGTCTCATTTGATCACGCTTGTGTGACACCCGACAGGGTTGGATTCATCAGTCCTTCGGCTGGTTCCCTTTGTGACGTGGGCAGGCCCTGCACACTGCAACGCCCGTCTGGGCTGTCGGATACATCCATTTGTCTCCCGGTTCTTTCCCTATGCGAAGCGTGGGCGAAAGAATTGCAAAATAGACGTGAATGCTTGTCCGGATAAATTTAGCCTTTCATGAAAAAATGCGGGGCTCGCTACTCGGAGGTACTGCCGCTTGCATGTGCGTGCCGGCTTGAGCCCAACCACCACCTCGAACCGGACGCGCTCGACTGTTTTGGCGCGCATGGCCAAGAAGCCCGTCCGCGGGCACGCAAAGGCATGATCCACAGCGGTTCAAGTCGGCGCCGCAGAGCGAGTTGCGTGGTCTGGGGGCTGGCTCGCATGGCCGCTGGCCACATGCCCGCATGCTGCCAGCCTTGCAAGCGACCTGCATCGTTGGGCTCTGGCGGGCGAATGGCTTCGTGGGCCACCCGAATCCACCCGCCCCCACTCCTCTTCAATCAGCATGGTGCGGGTGGCGGCGGTCTCGCGTAGGCATGGGATGGCCCCACCACCGCCCTCCAATGCCGCCAGAGCAACGGGCGGCGGCATCCGCAAAGCGGGAGCGGATGCCTGATGCGGGACAGCTGTCCTGCCCTCAGACGTGGATTGGACACAGCCATACACTCGTGGAAGGGACGAGTTTGGGAACAATCGCCTTTTCTGGCGTCGGTATATGTCCGAAGCAACGCCGGAAAACACAACTTCGCGTCGGACGGCGAATTTCACCAAACGACACAGCTGGGTGAACAAAATGTCGCCGGTGCCTGCGGAATACCCCAGAATGCACCGTAATACCCCAGAATACACCATCATACACCATCATACACCATAATACACCATGATACACCATACTACACCCAATGCAATCCCGTGCCGGGGAAAAGAACTGCTCCGGGCAGGCATGCCAGAGCAGCTTGTGCGACAACCGCTCCGTCCAAAATTCAATTCGGCTGATGGGTTCTTGGCCCATAACTACAGGTGAGTTGTGCGATTGATGGTTGGTTGAAGGACGCGATCTTGACTTGCTGGCAAGCTGTCCGCTTTTTGCACGAGGCGGCCCATCCGCGCAGCTTGAGACTTGTCGCGACACTTTTCACATTGGACACGCTGGCCCTGCGCTCAGGCGGTGTGCTACGCATCCAGCATCTTGAGAAACTCTTGCGCCAAGGCTTGCGCAAACACGAGTGGTCCAAGTGGTCCGATGTAGCGGATGTCGTATTGAAAACGACATCAAGTGTTTCGCAATGCCTGGGCAGCGGCGTGGCGGTGTGGCCCACCGTCCACTTTGAAAAATCGGCACGGGTTTCCACCAAAAAGCGGGCACTTCTGCTTCGCCGACGCTGCCAGCGCCCAACACTGCCGCTGCTGCTGGCAGTGTCCCCTGCACGTGCAGCATCCCCACGGCGCAAAGGGTGAGATCACCATTTCGACCACGGCAAGTGGGCACAGGAATTTCGAGTACTCTGCAATACTCGTCGAGTCATGTCGCGAGAGTCGTTCGTTTGGAGCGTGGAGAGGCGCCGACGTCAGCTGGGGCAATCATGGTTTTCTTGTCTTGCTGAACGTCTGCGAGAACACGCAACGCAGCGACGATGGCTTCCCTCGAAATCTCAGAACCCCCTCAGCCTTTATGAACTGTACGCTAAGAGAGGCGAACAAGGGGTGTTAGAGAAAACTGCGGAAATCTGAGAACGCCTTCCCCCCCCCCCCCGCGCGCGCGCGCATTTTTCCCGAGCATCAGAGCAGGTCGGCGAGCAGCAGCTGCAAGCTGCTCGAGGCGCTCCGACACAAGAGCCCCAAGGGCTCCAGGAACTCGCTTCGGTCACTTCCCTCCTTCGGAACCTCGGGGGGTCCGGAGGGTCCCTCGGAGGGTCCGGAGGAACCTTCGGAGGCAGAGTCCGACTCCTCGGAGTTGTCGGCATCTCTGCGTGGTGTGGGTGCCCCTTCTGTCCTCAGCAGCACCTTCACCAGGGCCATGAGCATCGCCAGGGCCGGCTCCGTCTTCGCCTGCAGCAGCCCGCGCGCGGCCTCGCGCAGGGCCGGCCGGTCCTGGAGAGGGGGGAAGGGAGTAGGTGCCCAGGGTTTGGGGGTTTTGGGCTCCTGTTTGGGTTTAGGGGGTTTAGGGTTTAGGGGGTTTAGGGTTTAGGGTTTAGGGTTTAGGCTTTAGGCTTTAGGCTTTTGGGTTTAGGGTTTAGGGTTTAGGCTTTTGGGTTTAGGGTGTAGGGTTTAGGGTGTAGGGTTTAGGGTTTAAGGTTTGGGGTTTGGGGTTTGGGGAAGCCTCCCCTGAAAATCCCGTTAAAATTTTTCGGAAAAGAAGAAGAAGAAGCCGCAAGGGGCGAGTCCTGAGCTCCAATTCTGGAGAGCGAGGCGGTGCAGCTGCTGAACAGTGTCGGTAGCAGGGAGGGATCCAGTGGCGGGAGGTTCTGCAGGGCCTTCCAACCAAAAAGGCTTGAGGCTTCAGGATTTAGGGTTTAAGGGTTTAGGGTTTAGGGTTTAGGGTTTTAGGCTTAGGGTCTGAATCCCCCCAAAAAAAACCCTCAAACTCGCCTCTCAATACATGTTAAAAAAAAAAGAAAATACATGTAAGATTGCTAGCAACTCCCCTCCTCTGAGGACCCTTCAAGTTGCGACCCCCCCCCCCCACATGGGTCTGGTGTTTGTAGTCATGCCTTTTGACCGTGTTTGCATGATACCCTTCAAAGCAAGTCCAAGCCAAGCCGAATCTAGGAAACTAGGCAAAAATGGGAGCCAAGCCAAAGGCCAAGAGCCAGAAGCCAGAAGCCAGAAGCCAAACGCCAGAAGCCAAAAGCCAAAAGCCGAACAGCCGAAAAGCAAAAGCCAAGCCGCACGGAAGCAAACAAGAAACTGGGCCCCTGAAAACTGGCCACATAAGCATGACCCTGCACCTTGACCTGCCAGCCCTAGAAGGCCGAGGCCCCCATTCAAACCTGTTCCCGAAAACACGTTTACCTGGGACTCTATTTGCCTGTAGTTTGGTAGGAACTACCCCTTCATCAGTAGGTAGAACCCACGAAACTGTAGGTAAACAGGGTCCTAAGATATGAATTAAGGATCCACAGGCTACCAAACCCATGATTTTTTCGGAGCTCAGGGGTGGCTGCTTCTGTTTCAGTCGTTGTCTCGTTTATGGTTGGGATAGAACTCGAAACTTAAAGTTCTATTCCCTACTGAGTTTAAGTACCCTTAGACATGTAACATGTAACCCACCCTAAACCCTAAACCCTAAACCCCAAAAGTTGCCTCCAGGAGCTCTCCTGGCTCGGTCCACCGGAGGCGGCAGGCCCAGAGCTCCAGGGCAAAGCGGAGCGCCAGCAGCGAGCGCTGCCGGAAGGCCGCGGCCACCAGGGACTCCAGCGAGGCGGGCGACACCTCCTCGGAGGCCTGGCGCAGGCGATTTCGGGGTTGAGGGTTGAGGGTTTAGGGCCTAGGGCAGTTTAGGGGGTTTGAGGGTTGAGGGTTTACAGTAGTTTGTTTTTTGGCAGGGGGTGGGGAGGGGGGGGGGGGCGTCCCCTTCACGGCTTCTCTGACACATCTTGCATCTGGCCTCTGCACTAGGGGGAAAATCGAGGACTAATCGAGGACTTAACGTTTTGAAGTAATTCGATTTAAAGCAGGGCAGCCCGACGCCAAGAACGCGAGGGGTGCCTGCATGCGCACCAGCGCCTGCGTCAAGACCCTCAGTCGGGCAGCAGCACGCAACACATCCGTGTCACTGCTCAACTGCAGGAAGACGGTCTGCAGCGGGCTCGAATCTTGATGCGCGAGAGAGATCAAGCAGCGTGCTGCGGGCTCCCACAAGTCGTCACTGCTGGAACTCAGCGCCTGCGACGACGCGGCCGCAACCTGGGCAACGGTGCCTGCATCGCAAGCTCCTGATTTCGTTGACCGCGCCCAGGACGCGAGCGCCTGCAAGGCCTGCACCTCCAATCCAGGCCTCTGGCAAAGCGTTGTGAGAATGCGCGCCACCTCATCCCCCCAGTCGCCCCAGGCTTGCTGGCCACGCAAGCCTTGCAGCTGCCCTAGAAGAACCTGCAGCTGGTAGACGGACCCCTCGTCTTGGCTCACTTTCGCCAGGAGGGAGGTGCTGCCCATCCTGCAGAGGGCCCCGAGCACGGCCCCGCCCACATCGCGGTGGCCGTCGTACAGCGACTCCAGGAGACCAACCAAAGCACCATCACCGGCTTCGGCATCGAAGAGGTGAAGATCACTCAGGTCTCGGAGCAGGGCCACCCGTTCCGCCACCTTCAGGTGGCTTTGCAAGGCCGTTCTCAAGACCACCTGGGCCTCTGAGGGGCTGAGCCGACGGAGCAGGCGCTGGAAGCTGCGCGCCGCCTGCTTGGAGCTGCCCTGCCCGAGCTGCTGAGACATCACCAGGGCCACCTCGCCGGGCCGGTCGAAGCAAGCGAGCACTGGGATCAGCCGGTCCAGCAACCACCCGGCGCGGCCCCGGGTCAGGGCCGCAGCCGTGGTTTCATCTTCGTCCTTCAGGGCCGCGGCGCACGACTCCATCAGCCGGTTCAGCTCATCCACGCCCAGAGCCGGCAAGGCCATGCGCACCCTGCAGCGGCCCAGCTGCACCTCCCAAGCCTCCATCTCCGAGCCCAGCTCCCCCAAGGCACCCGGACGCAAGCCCAGCCAGCAGTCGGCAAGGGACCGCTGCAGCGCGTCGGGCCAAGAGAAGAACTGCTTCGGGCCTCCCGCAACTTTTTTTCAAGCTAGATTTCAGGAGGAGTGCATAGCCATCTTCAGGTCCAATAAAAAATAAACTAATTCGGCGACGCGAGTTCTGAAGTGCGCCCAGAAACCCGCCCATCCCTCCGCCAAGAAGTGGAGGGGCAAGCCGCAATCGGCCACCAGGCGCCGGAGCTGTTGCAGCTTGCCGCTTTCCGTGACCAGCAGCTGGATGGCCTGTGGCTTGTGCTGCCTCGAGGCACGTTCTTGCAGCACCCAACTTCTCACTTCTCACACTGTTAGGGCGAAGGTGGATGTGATTCAAGGTTAGGTGAAAGGGTGAAGGCTGTAGGGAAGCCATGCGAACCACGGCAACCTCCAAAAATCTACCAGGGCTGCAACCCCGACACCTTGCCTTCTTCCAGGACATGCACAGCTTACCTCGCAAAGTCCCACCCAAAGCCTTTCCAACTCGAGAACCCCGAAAACATCCCTACTCTCCCCAGGCTCCGAGAAACCCCAGAAGAGACCACCAAATGCTGTCGAACATCCAAAAAGAGGAGAAAAACAAACACGTAACCCTATGACCCCATGAACCCCATAAACAACATAAACCCTACAAACCCCATAAACCCTATAAACCCTAGAAACCCTTAACAAGAAAAGGGATAGGATGCTGGCCCCCTAGAAAACAAAAGGAGCTCCGAAGCCCCCAAACCTCAAAAACTTCAAAGCCTACATGTTGGGATGTTCCCCCCTGATTCTAACAAAGTCCTGAGCAGGGGTTAGAGTACCCCCCCAGTATAATCCCGATTAAGGGCTGTTAGTAGAAGGGGGAACATCCCAACAAATTCCTACACCCTCACCCTCACAACCCCTCACAACCCTCACAACCCCCAGAACCTGTGACCCTATGACCCTTTTTACCCCATAGCCCTATAACCCCATTGAAAAATTGCCCATTAGAATATGAAAAAGGGAATGAGACGAACGCCAGATAAAGATTGACACTTTCTGCAGCTGGTTTCGCTTGTAATCTAATGTTTGGATTTTCTTGTTCTATTCACGATGATAACTATGTTATCTTGGAAGCTCTTAAGTGCGTGATCTTGTTTTACACGTGCGCTAATAATTAGGGTTATAAGGCCCTGAACCACCCCATAAACCTTTAAACTTCCCCCCAAAACCCTAAACCCTAGACCCTAAACCCCAAACCCTAAACCCTAAACCCCCAAACCCGCAACCCTAAACCCTGAACCCCCCCCCCCCCAAACCCTGAAGGGAAGCCGAGGCGCAAGGCCCTCAGCAGCACCGTCGAGGTACAGAGCAGCTCCAGGCGCTGAGTCGGGTCCTGGGGGAGGGCTTCAGGGGCTTTAGGGTTTAGGGTTTAGGGCCTGGGGTTTCGGGTCCCTAACCCCTAAACCCTAAACCCTAAACCGCCGAAACCCCAAACCCTAAACCCTAAACCCTAAACCCCAAACCCATCCGAAAGCAAGGTGTGTAAGCTCTGGCGCCGTAGTCCTGGTGCCGCCAGCGCTCCAGGAAGGCGTCCCGTTCTCGCTTCCGCTGTGTCAGCAGCTCCTTTGGATCTTGGGGTTTAGGATTTAGGGTTTGGGGTTTGGGGTTTAGGGTTTAGGGTTTAGGGTTTGGGTTTTTGGGTTTTCTGGGGGGCTCTGATGGATCTGGGGGCTGAAGGCTTCAGGGGCTTCAACGAAGATTTTCGCGGCCGGGAACGCCGTTGTCCCAGCAACCCCCACAAGTCTCCTCCGCCTGGTTGCGCAGCCGGATCTTCGTCCTCATCTCCCACAAGCTCGTCCGATACTTCTGCGTGCCCGGTGAGCCAGACACCTGCAAGACCCAGGAGGAACCTAGGAATAAACAAAAGGGTCCCCTTTTTTGGTTTTAAGGGGATGATAAGGGAGGCCTACTCCGGGTCCTCTAGCCTCCAAGGAGAGTGGCCAATCGCAAAGCCGGCGCAGCAAGGGGGCCACGCCGGACGCATCATGGGCGGAGCGGCATGCACGCCCCAGGTTGTGCAGCATTGCCGTGGCACACTCTATCCTCTGCGACTCGGCCAGGTTGTCCCAGTTGCTGCACAGAGCCTGGTGTGGCACAAAGACGACCGAAGAGCAACCCTGAAATTTGCCAAGTTGCAGCCAAAGCGCCTGCACCAGCTCGTCGAAGAGGGCCACATTCCGCCTCCGCACGCGGCGAGCCTCGGGGCTCTCCACAAATTGCAGGGCCGCCGTCGTGTGCCAGGGAAGCATCGGGCTGCCCATTCGGCCGATGAAGGACTGCCACCACGAGCTGCAGAGTTGACAGAGACACCGCACCGCCTGCTCCTTCTTTTTTTTTGCCGTTGTTTTGGGTGACATATGTAAGCCCACATCCACAAATCCCCATGCAGCAACACCCTCAGACCACCACAAAAAAAACAACTCGGGAGCCCTAAAGCAGCTCTCCTGCGCCCAGCGCAGGGCTTCGGAATCGCGGCAGAGCCGTGCGGAGCACGGGAGGAGCAGTGACTGCCTGAGTTGCTTAGGGTGGGGGTGGGGGTTTAGGGTTTAGGGTTTAGGGTTTAGGGTTTAGGGTTTAGGGTTTAGGGTTTAGGGTTTAGGGTTTAGGGTTTAGGGTTTAGGGTTTAGGGTTTAGGGTTTAGGGTTTGTAGAGTTCAGGGCCGGGGTGGCCGCTTTAGGTTCTAGGGCTTCAATGGAGGTGTATGAAGGTTTGTGTGTTGGGCGCTTGGGTGTTCTCGAAGCTCTCTGAAGGACAGCATGTGGTTTTCGAATTTCCCAGGTACGAGATTGAAGTTGCCCTTGATCTGCGTCAAACGCAATCTTGTCCCCAAACCCGGAATGTTTAGCCGCCTTGGGCGCAGCTTTCACATCATTGCCCGCGACGGCAGGTGGACATGTCGAGGCCCAAACCGCAGACCTGCCTAAATCCCTGAACCCTAAACCCTAAACCCGAAACCCTAAACCCTAACCCTTAAACCCCAAACCCCAAACCCCAAACCCTAAACCCCAAACCCTAAACCCTAAACCCCCACGTTTTTTTTTTTTGAGCCCCAAACCCCCCGGTCTGCCAGGTCGACCCAAGGCGCAGAGCCACCTGGGATCCAGTCGCTGTCACATGGTCGAGACTCCGGACGCCCTGTGCTCCCAGTTTTAGGGCTAGGGTTTAGGGTTTCGGGAAGAGGTTCAGGTTTAGGGTTTAGGGTTTAGGGTTTAGGGCTAGGGTTTAGGGTTTTGGGTTGCGGGTTTCGGATTTCGGGGTGTTCGGGCAGAGGTGGGTATATAAATAAGGGGCGCAAACTTTAGCTATGTCTTACTACGAGTATTGACTGGAAGGTACATAAACCTACCGATGAACCTCCACATGCCTGCTAGTCAAATTCCTTACGAAGGCTTCAAATTCAAGGGTTTATGACTCTATTCCATATGTTCTAGCATTCGGGATCCGAACCATCACGATGTCTTAATAAGGGGGGTCTTGGGAACTTCCCTTTTTGCACTTCGGGTTTAGATGGACATCTTTTAAGAAGGAAAAATCTGAGAGCTCTCGCGCCACCTGCACCGCCACTGCGAAGGCCTCGCGCACGAGCGCATCAAGTGGCGCACCTTGGAGACTTGAGGACTACTTGGAGGTTCCTGGGTAGGCAGGGTGAGTTGCTTTAGAAATTCGACCTCTCTACGACCTTGGGTAGGGGGTCCTTCTAACCCGACGAACGGCTACCCGTGAACCTGCTGGGGTCGAACGAGAGACACCCCAAAAGACCTAACATCCTAAGGCCATGGACCCTGTATCCCTAGACCCCTTCCCTATCCCCCAAACCCTAAACCCCAACCCCTGAACCCTGAACCCTGAACCCTAAACCCTAAACCCTAAACCCCAAACCCTAAACCCTAAACCCTAAACCCCAATCCCAGGCGCAAGCAGAAGCAATGTTGGGCACAGCAGGGCGGTCGCGAGGCAGGCGTCGCAGGAGGTCCAGGCGGATGCCTTCCCACTGAACCAGCACTCCGCACACCTTTCGGAGGAAACCAAGGGAAGCCAACTTCGAGGGCTTAGGGTTTAGGGTTTAGGGTTTAGGGTTTAGGGTTTAGGGTTTAGGGTTTAGGGTTTAGGGTTTAGGGTTTAGGGTTTGGGGTTTAGGGTGCAGAGGAAACCAAGGAAGCCAATTTTGAGGGTTTAGGGTTTAGGATTTAGAAGGTTTAGAAGGTTCGAAACCTTCTAAAGGTTTAGAAGGTTTAGGGTTTAGGGTTTAGAAGGTTTAGGGTTTAGAAGGTTTAGGGTTTGGAAAGTTTAGGGTTTAGTTTAGGGTTTAGAAGGTTTAGGGTTTGGAAGGTTTAGGGTTTAGAAGGTTCAGGGCTTAGGGTTTAGGGTTAAGGGTCTATCGGGTCTTGCAAGGAGTGGTCGGTCAAGGAGCTCACGGTTCGTGAGTTGGGGAGGCACATGCGCCTGCTCGAACAAGCCAAGTATGCTGTTCCTGCCCTAACCCTGAACCCTAGACCCTAAACCCTGAACCCTAAACCCTAAACCCTAAACCCTCAACCCTGAACCCTTACCCCGGCTTCTGCAATTCAGGTTTTAGGGTTTAGGGTTAACAAGGGTTTGGGGTTAGGGTTTAGGACTCTGCACACCTCGAAAGGCTCGAAACAACCCTGAACCCGCCCTCCACGGCCAGTTGGCCTCGTTGATCTTCCGTGGATCCAGAAGACTAGGCAGCTGCCGCAGGAAGTCCTCTCGGTATATTGATAAAAGGGACCAGAAGGGAATTGCGTGAGGCAGGGTAATCCTTGATTACGTGTTGCTCCCCTCACTGGAACACGGTCTCTTTCCTCTTCGTCGCACATCGTCTAAGCCCAGAGTTCCACGCTCGGGTTATGGACGTACGGTTATATGATCTGACGTACAGTTTCTTGAGCCAAGGAAGGCCGGGGCGTATACTTCATCCATCTGCTGTTCCGGTCACCGGTAACAGCAGAGGAGTACAGTGAAATATTGCTGTGGTTCGGGTTCTGTTAACAGGAATAGTGTTAGTAGCTCTTCCGATCCCTGTATGATCTGGTCATGGGTTTGGGGCTTCGGGTTTAGGGCTGCATGGGTTTCAATACGCCTGAAGCCTAGATAACCCTAAACCCTAAACCCCAAAACCCTAAACCCAAGGGTCCACGAGCCACGGAAAGGCCACGAAGGCCAGCTGCGGCTCCACCAGCGCCACCCGCCGGAGTACGGCCGTTCCTCGCTTCCAGGCTTCTCGGGAACTTTCAGGGAAGTTCAAGGGCAGTTCAAGGGAGTTTCAAGGGAACTTTAAGGGAAGTTCAAGGGAACTTCAAGGGAACTTCAAGGGGAGTTCAAGGGAACTTTAAGGGAACTGTAAGGGAAGCTCAAGGGAACTTTAAGGGAACTTCAAGGGAAGTTCAAGGGAATTTTAAGGGAACTTTAAGGGAAGCTCAAGGGAAGTTCAAGAAGGGAAGTTTAAGGGAAGCTTTACACCAGTCAGGGAGGTTGAGTGTGCTAGGTTTCGGGAATTGGCCGCTGTCTCCTGGTCGACCTCCTTGCTCAGGGCACCCAGAGCCAGTGGCCCGAAAGAAAACTGCTCGGGTTAGGGTTTAGGGTTTAGGGTTTAGGGTTTAGGGTTTAGGGTTTAGGGTTTAGGGTTTAGGGTTTAGGGTTTAGGGTTTAGGGTTTAGGGTTTAGGGTTTAGGGTTTAGGGTTTAGGGTTTAGGGTTTAGGGTTTAGGGTTTTAGGGTTTAGGGTTTAGGGTTAGGGTTTAGGGTTTTTTAGGGTTTAGGGTTTAGGGTTTAGGGTTTAGGGTTTAGGGTTTAGGGTTTAGGGTTTAGGGTTTAGGGTTTAGGGTTTAGGGTTTAGGGTTTAGGGTTTAGGGTTTAGGGTTTAGGGTTTAGGGTTTAGGGTCCCACAAACCTTGGCCCAAGGCTCCGAAGGCCAGGTCGCCCCAGCCCCACAGGCGCGCCGCGGTCAGCTGCGACTTCACCTCGAGGCCAAAGGTGCCGCAGGGGGCGAGGCTTGCTTCGGTGCGCAAGACCGCGCCGTTGGCCACCAAGGCCTCGAGGAGCAGCGGCCACACGGACAGGGACTGCGAGCTGCTCCCCTTGGCTTGCATGGAGGCCGTGAGCAGCTGCTTCAAGGAGGGGACGTGCACGGCTTGCCAAGCCAGGGCGGGGACAACATCGGCCATGTGCTGAAGGACCGCCGCCCGCACGTTGTCCTGCTCGTTTCGGAGCCGGGCTTCGAAGAACTTCAGGGCGTCTTGGATGGGCTCCGGCCCGCCCCTCCCTGCGCAGCGAATCAGGCACTGGAGCCCCGCCTCGCGCGTGCTGGCGTTGGAGCTGCTGCAGCGCTTCTTCACCTCGGCCTCCACATCCGCGTAGGGAAGCCAGGCTAAGGCGTCGAGAAAGTCGAGATCCGGGCCACCCCCAGCAACTTCCCGAGGCTTCTTCTGCGTGAACTTCTGCGCCAGCAGCTTCCTCCCAAAATTCAGCCACCAATCCCTGTACGAACCTGTCCCGCCCCCTCTCAACCTCTAAACCCTGAAATCCTCAAACCGTAAACAACTACCCGAGCGTTCCTAAAACCCTCATCCCTGAAGAAGCCCCAAAGAGCCCCCTCTCCTAAACCCCCAACCCTAAACCCTAAACCCGAAACCCTAAACCCTAAGCCCCAAACCCCACACCCTAAACCCTGTCCTAGCTTCCGGCGTCCACTGATCCAGACGCCAGAGGAAGGCCGGCACTTGGCTGCCGCGGACCAAGGCGGTAAGCGCCGCCTCCATCTCGGCGTCGTCGCTCCTGAGAGTTGCTTCTTCCCCCCTGGTTCTGAGTCTTCGGGTGTAGGGTTTAGGGTTTAGGGTTTAGGGTTTAGGGTTTAGGGTTTAGGGTTTAGGGTGTAGGGTTTAGGGTTTCGGGTTTAGAATGAGGGAATTAAGGCCTTACATATACCCTTTAAGGGAGTATATAGGTACCTCACGCCTAGGGTTTTTTAGAGGGTTGTTTAGGTGGAAGATCGAGGGCCTACCCAAGCTTAAGGTTCAAGGTCAACCCCCTGAAAACCGGAGCAAAGAACCCCAAGAGCCATAGAGAACCGAGGAGCAGCCCTTCAACTTATGGGCAAACAAAAACGGAAAGAAAAAAAAACACACAAGAGAAATTTCCCCAAACCCGAAAAGCGAGCCCAACAATGTTCAACCCCCATGAGAGCTCTCCCACCGACCCACCCTAAACTCCTGAACCCAACAAACCCCTAGACCCGCAAACCCGAAATCCCCATAAGCCACAACAAAACTTAGCTCCAGCTCCAACACACCTCAACCCTTAAACCCAAATCGCTAAACACCTGACCCCATCCATTAAACCTCAGAACCTGCACCCTATCCCTATACCCTCAACCCTCAACCCTTAAACCCTGAAACTCCCCAAGCCCCAACAACCGCAAACCCCCAAACCCCTAAACTCTTAAACCCCTAAGCCCTATCCCTAAACCCTAAACCCTAAACTCCTAAACCCCTAAACCCCCTAAGCCGCAACAAGGGTCCACTCTTTAAGGGCTTCCAAGGATGCCCCGAGCCGTTCTGGGCCCAGCCGGGCGAAGAGCTTCGCCAGCTGCTCCTCTCTGAGCGGTCCCCTGAAACCACTTACTTTTGTTTAGGGCCCAGGGTTTAGGGTTTAGGGTTTAGGGCTTAGGGCTTAGGGTTTAGGGTTTAGGGTTTAGGGTCCAGGGTTTTTGAAGGCTTTTTTGCCACTGCCATGCACCTCCTTCCCTGCTTGTGTTTTCAGGGTTTGGGGTTTCGGGCTTTAGGGCTTCAGGGTCTGGGAGGGCTTCATTCGGCTTGGGGGCGTCAGAGTGCCAAGGTGTCGAGCCCAAACTTTTGGGTCTCACACGCACCGATGAGTCTTTTATATAGGATTTTGCAGGGGTGCTTGTAGGATTTTTCAGGGACGCTTCGGGGGGTTTTATGGGGGTCTAGTAATCGGGTCTTACACAAAGCTTTTAAGGTTCAAAAGAGTTTCAAAGGTTTTACAAGTTCAAAAAGGGCATTAAAGGGCTTTGGCTTTTGGGGCGGCAAAGCATGGCGCTGACGGGACCCTAAACCCGAAACCCTAAAAACCCTAAAAATCCTGCACCCTAAGCCCTAAAAAACCTAGAGACCCTAAAAACCCTAAAAACCCTCAAAAACCCTAAACCACCAACAACCCTAAGCCCTGCACCTGAACCCTAGGATTTCTCGAGTCTGGGTGTTGTTCAGTAAGTCTAGTGATTTAGGGCTTAAGGTTAAAAGGTGCTCAGGGGCTTAAGGCCTCCAGGGGGTTTAGGGGCTTGAGGGTTTAGGGTTTCGGGTTTCGGGTTTAGGGTTTAGGGTTTAGGGTTTGGGGTTTAGGGTTTAGGGTTTAGGGTTTAGGGTTTAGGGTTTAGGGTTTAGGGTTTAGGGTTTAGGGGCTTGAAAGTTTAAGAGCTTGAGCTCAGTGCCCCGAGCTTACTCACTCCTGCGAGAGCCGCCGTTCGGGCTTGAAGGCGCGGAAGAGAGGGCCAAAGTCTTGACCCGCATCTGCCTTAGGGGATAGGGTTTAGGGTTTAGGGTTTAGGGTTTAGGGTTTAGGGTTTAGGGTTTAGGGTTTAGGGTTTAGGGTTTAGGGTTTAGGGTTTAGGGTTTAGGGTTTTGGGTAGGATTAGGGGGACCCTTGGGGATATAGACCCTCTGAATAAGGCCCAAAGAGAACCAGCGAACCAACCATAAACTCCTAATAATAGAATAACGAAGAGAGTGAAACGAACGAGGGAGTGAATCGAGATCATATTTTAGGAGTAAAGTGGCTCCCTTTTTGCACTATTATTTAATGGGGCAAAAAAGACCGCACGTAGCCCCTACAAATTAGCCGTTTAATTTTAATATTGTTTAGGGGCGCACTAATAAGTCTTTTATACGCGCCCGTGAAGTGAAGAGAATACGATTATAATATTAAGGCAAGTTTACGCGTGTACTAACATTAGAATTGTAAGAACGAAACAGAAGATAGAAAGTGTTGTGAAAGAGTGAGCAATTTTATAGGTAAGAACTGAAAGGACGCACGCTTTTATTAGTAAAATTGAGAACGAGAGAACAAAATGTGCGCCTTAATGAATCTTATATTATAGCGCCTCTGTTTAAGAGAGCTAGGTAGGATGCCTGGACCAGCTTCGTCGCGACCTCGAAAGCCAGCGGCCACGAGTCCGACTTTCCTTCGTTGTCGGGGGCGGCCCTAAACCCTAAACCCTAAACCCTAAACCCTAAGCCCTAAAGCGCCGTTTAGGGCCTCCGGCTCCCCGCCTCAACTGTTTCTTCCACTCCTACGGCACATAGTCTCTCAGAGCAGGCGCCTCGGGGCTCAGCTCCTAGGAGCAGGTCCTGTACAAGGGGTAAACCCTAAACCCTAAACCCGAAAAACCCTAAACCCTAAACCCCAAACCCTAAACCCTAAACCCTAAACACTGACCTGCTCTGTCTACGTGCACCCGAAGTGTCGCGCCGCCGCGCGCAGGGCCGCGCCCCAGTTTTCCAAGTCGATGCTGGCGAGGCTGGGGAGCTTGGACACCGCCTCCAACCCAGCCTGCGGAGAGGGTTTAGGGTTTAGGGTTTAGGGTTTAGGGTTTAGGGTTTAGGGTTTAGGGTTTAGGGTTTAGGGTTTAGGGTTAGGGTTTAGGGTTTTGAGGGTTGAGGGTTTAGGGTTTTGAGGGTTGAGGGTTTTGGGTTTAGGGTTTGGGGTTTAGGGTTTTGAGGGTTTAGAGTGGGCTGGGGTCGTTTCGGGTTTCGGGATTCTTGTGGCTTTTTGTCGAAAGGGTTCTGGGGGTTCAGAATACGTCAAGAAGAAGGTGGCGTGTGGTGCATCAGGTTTAGGGTTTCTGTTTGGGCTTACAGTTCAGGATTTAAGGTTCTGGGGTTTCGGGTTTAGGGTTTAGAGTTTAGGGTCTAGGGATTCTTGTTTCTGTTTGGGACAGTTCACGGCTTCATTTTTGGGGGGGGGGGGTTCTTCTGCGGCTGGCCTGGGGAGATCTCTTCGAAAGGCCCTGGAAGAGCCACAAGAAAAGCCGCGGCTCAGCTGAAGCCTGGTCCACCATGGGCAACTTGAAGGTTCATTTTGGGCAGATACAGGTGGGGGGTTTAGGGTTTAGGGCTTAGGTGGTGGTGGAGCTCTGGTTCAGGGGATTGTGGCGTTGCTTTTCGGGATTTAGGGCCTCAAGGTTCTACTAGGGGTCTTAGGGTCCCTAAACCAAAAACCCTAAACCCTAAGCCCTAGACCCTACTTATCCGGGTTCAGGGCTGAGGGATTTTAGGGTTAACCAGGAATTGGTTTAGAGTTCAGGGTTTCGGGCTTAGGGGTTAGGGGTTAGGGTTGAGGGCTGAGGGTTTAGGGTTTAGGCTTTAGGCGTTAGGGTTTAAGGCTTAGGGGGGACATCCCAAGCTACACACCCCATGAACCCGAAAAACCAAAACAAAAAAGAACATAAACCCTGTCTACGAAACGTATAAACACAACAGAAGCCGGAAAAGCCGTCCAAGTTCGGGTTTAAGTTTAGGGTGCAGAGGCTTTGTTGGTGTTTGGGGCTTCGGAATGTTTAGTAGAGTTCGGGTCTTTGGGAGCTTTCTTGGGGGGCAGACCAGGTGCATTCTGACTTCTGCCTAAACCCTAAACCCGAAACCCTAAACCCTAAACCCTAATGCCGGGACTTTGCACCCTTCAGGGAACATGACCGCTAGGAGTTCAATAACCTTAGCAGAGAGGTTCTAACAGTTCTGGGCAAGGTTGCGCTTTCGGGCTTAGGGTTTAGGGTTTAGGATTTAGGGTTTAGGGTTTAGGGTTGAGGCCTGGACCGCTAAAGAAGCGCGAAAAAGGACCACAGAGGTCCAAACGAATGTAGGGTTTAGGTTTTCGGGTTTAGGGTTTGGGGTTTAGGGGTTTAGGGTTTAGGGTTTAGGGGTTTGGCTGGCTGGGCCTTCTTGTAAGTGGCCGCGTCCTCCGCGCAGCGCTCCAGGAAGCCGAGAGCAGCAGCCGGGGCGGCGGCGCAGACCGAGATCACCTGCTGGGATGTTGTTTCTCAGGGTTTGGGGTTTAGGGTTTAGGGTTTAGGGTTTAGGGTTTAGGGTTTCAGGTTTCGGGTTTAGGGTTTAGGGTTTAGGGAAACCATGTTAGGGTCGATCCTCGGGCCGTAGAGTCTTTAGGGGGCGGAGGGGTAGAGGGGTCTAAGCTTTGGGGCAGTATTAGCTCTGAAGCTCAAGCCCGACTGAAGGAGGGGACGAACGAAGCATGAAGGGGCAGTTTTTGAGAGGGAGAGTGCGGTTTTTAGGGTTTAGGGTTATAGGGTTATAGGGTTATAGGGTTATAGGGTTATAGGGTTATAGGGTTATAGGGTTATAGGGTTATAGGGTTATAGGGTTATAGGGTTATAGGGTTATAGGGTTATAGGGTTATAGGGGGTCATAGGGGGTTATAGGGTTATAGGTCGGGTTTAGGGTTTAGGGTTTAGGATTCTATTGTCAACAAGAATGGTTCTGTGCCCTTTGTTGGGGGCTTGGGATGGCTCGAGCCTTTCGCAGCTCATGCTGCTGCCAGCGCCGCTGGGGCACGTCGACGATCAGCTGAAGAGTCAGCTGCGGCAGCCGCGCGGCAATGGAGGTGGCCGTGGCAGATGGCACCGCCACGTTGGGCCACCAGCTTTCGATGACTTCCGGGCTGGCCGCCTTCAAGAGCCGCGCCGCCGTGGCTGTGGAAGAAGTGGAGACCACGGAGAGCAGCTCGGGGGTGACGGTGACGACGCCTTCCAGGGCACCACTGCCCAGCCGCGCCAGCGCGGACAGCCCCGCCCGCCGCCGCGCGGCGCTCAGCACGGGTACCCCCGCCGCGCCCTCCGCGCCCACGGGGCCCAGGCCGAGGAGGCGAAGGAGCCGCGGGGGGTCCGTCTTCAGCAGAGCCGTCAGGGCACGCACTCCGACGGTGTGGGAGGCCGAAACCGCCAGTTCCTCAAGGCGCTCGCCCAGCGAGGCAAGCGAGGCAGCTTGAACAGCCCACGCACCCCGTCCGCCAGACACTGGCCGTGGCCCCTGTGGCCCTTGCGGCCCCTGTGGCCCTTGAAGCTCTGCCAACAGTTCCTCGAGGGCCACGCTGCTCAAAGTGCGGAGCTGCCGGGCCGCATCTCCGTCGTAGGCGCCATGGCTGGCAAGCTGCTTCACAGCCTCCAGCGACATCTCTGAAGCCCTAGCGACGCTCCCAAGCCTACAATGGAAGGATTTCCGTGATCCCCCGCTCGATGGCCTCCAACTGTCAGCTGATGTGTGTGCTCTTGCACGAGCCAACGCACTATATCTCAAGATGCACAAAGCGGAGAGGGGGCCAGGGGTGGGGAAAGGCCGGTGGGGACGGCTAAGATGGTGGGAACGCACAGGCTGGGCACACAGCGGCACACGGCTCGTGCAAAAGCACACCATCAACTAGTGGGACCAGCTAGCGAGTGATCACGGGGATCCTTCAACAACCCCTTTATGGCCGGAATGTCTCACTGTCAAGGGACCCATGCAGTCTGTCTTCGCTCCTTTAGCAGCACTTGTCAAACGCATTGCAAGATGCTGTGAACGCGTGGCACATCAGCTTGCCAGCACATCGAACCGAAGCCTCTGCCAGCAGTGCAATCATCTGCTCACGATCTCAAGTGCTCCGCTACTAGCCTGCTTATCCTTTTCGTGTGTGGGCGACAGGATCAGCCTCAACATCGCTGACAGATGTCAAAGTTATCTGGCATGCGGCATGCATTCGATTAAGGACAGGTTTGACATACAGCACCATCAACAAAGGTAGGAACAGTTGCATATGCTAATACTATACTCCGAACCACAACCGCGATTCGAAGCACTACCCAGCTTAACCATGACTTCAAGGAAGTATGCACACTCGCTGTGGATCTCTAGCGACAGCATTGATGGAATCATCAAAGACAAGGTCGGCTTCAGAGTGGAAGAGTGGACACGTTCCGGGTTTGGGTTTTGGATGCTTGCGGACGCTTGGGTGTGTTGAAACATGTCATGCTGCTTTTCCTCTCTCTGGCGGCCACGCGTGGTCTATTCGCAGTATACTCCTTTAGAGAGTCCATCCTACCATGCAAAGCTTGCGTGGGCTGTGCAAAACACCCTCTGATACTGCGAATGTTCACCCGCGGGGTATTCCAGGTCAAGCGCACAAAACTCAATTCAAAGGAGGTGTACACACCCAAAAACACTAATCGCCCATCCATGCGATCCTGGACCTTCGGTTCAACGATCACCCACCCTTTCTCTCCGCTGCCGATTTTTTCGGCTTTGAGAAATTCGAGAAGTTTGGCTTGGTCAATGGCTTAGGACAGAGGGCGTAGGGATTTGCATGGCAATCTGCCACAGTCTGTACACATGAGGCGAGATGCCAAATAAGGGCCACCCGCCGTGAAAATGGCGACCCCTGGGGGAACCTGTCCCGAAAGCATGCCGGTCCGATTGACGAACGTGGCCCTGGAAAAACATCTCCCCGGTCTTAGCGGGAAACGTCGAGCTTCTGCATGCACATGCTTGGCTTGGCGGTTCCTGGGTACTTAAAACCAGAGCGATGAGTCTACTTCTAACCTACATAGGGTACCGGGGTGGCGTACAAGCACAAGCATACTTGGGGTTCTTTCAGTACCCATGAACCTCCAAAGGTTGGGATTCAGGGGGTTTAGGGGCCAGAGCTCGGCTCAGAGCGATCACCGCACGGTGAGGTGGAGCAAATCCAAGCCCTCCACCTTCTTCGACTGGCCACCACGCACGACACGATTCCCGCGGCCGCGCTATAGACAACTGCAGGCGCCACAGGCTGCCGGAGCGCCAAGGCACCTAGGATGGCCCCTTTAGGGTTTAGGGTTTAGGGTTTGGGGTTTAGGGTTTAGGGTTTAGGGTTTAGGGTTTAGGGTTTAGGGTTTAGGGTTTAGGGTTTAGGGTTTAGGGTTTGGGGTTTAGGGTTAGAGCCCTCTGAAAAACATTCCTGAAGATGATCCTCTTAAACCCATCAAGAGAAAATATCAGATGCTTCAGGGGTTTGCCTAGGCACTCAGTCCGAAGATGCACATGAGGGCCCCGGCCAAAAGGACCCAAATCAACAGCGTCTTCCCGTAGTCCAGCAGCCTCCCAGCAGGAGCCGCAAAGCGATGGCAGACGAAATACACCAGCTGAATGTAGTGCACGCAGAGGACACCTACACTGAACTTGGAACCCTAGCACAGATTCTAATTTTCAGCTGTTTTTGAGGAGCTACTAGTACCCAAAATTTAACAACAATGGTTCCAAGTACCTCTAAGAAACTGTTTGCAACGCATCTCACAAGGAACGTGCTCAGAATAACCTCCATGGTGGAGGTTGGCGACTGGCACTCCTCCAAGAACTTAGCCACGTTGAAGGTGATGAAGGGCGTTGCAATCATCAGCCAATAAGCACCCGGAAGGTCGGTACTCGAAAAATGCTGTGTCAGCTCATCCGCCAACGGCCCTCTCACATGTTGTGCGAATGATGATGAGCTTCCATACCACGAGGAAATGGCCGCAAGAATGCACTCTCGGTCTTCGACGGTGCGGCAGTGGACTTCTGAAATGTCAAAGTTGCGCAGCTCATTCACGAGGTGATGCTTGTCATTCAGCGTGCCTCGCAGAACGTGGAACAACAGATAGCTGGGAAGCATAGTAAGCGCCACGACCACCTGGGAAACTCCACTCCGAGCGTTGAACCGCCACTCGTCAACGATGATGACTATGTAAAGGCCCAGAACCACGCAGAGGAGCCCGCTTTCGACAAACAAAGGCTTGAGAACAATCCTCCAAGGTAAGCGGGACTGGTCTGGTGAGGCGGCTGCTATATGGTTCAGTGGTTTTGCCTTGCTGTTGAAACGGACTGTTCAGAATACAAGCCGTCTTATTGCGCGTACTCGGACGACACTCATGACCTTGACTATGACAAGCGCTACTTCTGCTTTCAAGACCGTCCTTCCGGAGGGATTGGCTTTGTGGAATGCCGCCATCTCAAAGACGCACCACCTGTATTGCTCGGAGAACTACTCGCCAGAGAGTGGGCGCAACGACCCAACACTCTAAGACGCGAACCCGAAGCCCCCTGACCGATGCCCAGGATTCCTGAAAGGGCCCTAAACCCCACGGCCCGAAACCCCAAACCCGACAAAAACCTAAGCATGAAACCCTAGAACGCCACAACCAGGGCGGGGCGCAGTCGGGAGAGGTAAGGGGGACTCCAGAGGATGCGCAGCTCGGACGCCGCAGCCAGAAATCCGCCCAAGCCGTAGATGCCTTTCTGCATCATGTCAGGGTCGGCCTTTCGGGGCTCTGCCAGCGCTTCTTCTCTTGCTGGGGTTTAAAGTTTCGGGTTTTGGGGTTTAGGGTTTAGGGTCTAGGTTTCGGGTTGTTTGAGGCTTTGGGGTTTAGGGTATAGGGCTTTTTAAAGTTTAGGGTTTAGGGTTTAGGGTTTGGGGTTTGGGGTTAGGGTTATGGCTATAGGGGCAATGCTTGTGCATCTGCCTGGTTGATGCACACGGCGTCAAAAAAGCACATCTCTTCCGGCTCGCCCCGGAATGTTGCCCACGCGGGCATGTAAGGCGTGGACAGGAGCCCACAAACCGAACCGAGAAGAGCACCTTGCTTTGAGGCTCTCGCGTGTTTCGGGCTCATGCTTACGCGTTTTAGGGCGCGTGGTATAACATGTACAACTTGTACAACAACACACAAAAAGATGGAGAAACAAAAAAAATGCAGGCCTGCTTGTTCCAAACCCTGGACCTCCCTGAAACCGTCAACCCTCAACCCTCAACCCTCAACCCTAAACCCTAAACCCTAAACCCCGGCCGAGTGGCCCATCCACATGGCCGGTTTCGGCGCAATGAAGTACGGAATCTCCTGAAAAAACACGGAAAAACAGGATATCCTGGGGTTCTTTTTGGTTGGTCTTACGACAATAAGAGACTCGCACAAGTTTAAGGTTTAGGGTTCAGGGTTTAGGGTTTAGGGCTTAGGGTTTAGGATTTAGGGCTTGGGGTTTAGGGTTTAGGGTTAAGGGTGTGCATGCTAGGTCGCGCGCTCGGGCGTGGAACGCCCCGGGCCGCGCGCTCGCGTTGCCTTAACCCGGGCACCCGAACTATTCTCAACTAGGGTTTAGGGTTCACCCCCCAACCCCCCTCAAGCGGGGCTTTTACTTCACTCCAGGAAGCATCTCATCTCACAAGCCCCACCTTAACCTCGACGCCGAGGGCTCCTGCCCGGGCCGCCCTGAGCAATACATCCTGAATCCTAAGAACAGGCCTAAACCATAAAGACCCCCAACCGTAATTCCTAGACCCCAAAGGCCATGAACCGGACATGGTGTGGAGGCCCTTATTAACTTGAAGTGGTTGTTGGGGAGTCGCTGGCTGAAAGCCCCTGTCTGGAAGTCCCTGCTTGGGGTCCCTGCCTGGGAGGCCCGCGAGGCCCCTGCCTTTGGGAGGGTCCCTGCCTGGTCCAGGAATCCAGCCACCAGGGGCATGGACCCCAAACGGCCTGGGGATTGGGGTTCTACAAAAGGTGGTCTGGATACGGCCATCCCTTAGGCCGGAAGCAAGGCCAGGGTCGTTGGCCTGTACAGGACAAGCTGGTGAGGCTTTACCCTCACCTCTCCGCGACCCGCTCTTTTCGTATGGGCGCTCGGGCTCTGAGCCCTCGGCCAAACCGTTCGGGGTCTGTCACTCGACGGCAGCGACCCCTCACTCTGTTTAGGATTTAGGGTTTAGGGTTTAGGGTTTGGGGTTTAGGGTTTAGGGATTAGGGATTAGGGTTTAGGGCTTAGGGTTTAGGGTTTAAGGTTTAGGGTTTAGGGTTTAGGGTTTAGGGTTTAGGGTTTAGGGTTTAGGGTTTAGGGTTTAGGGTTTAGGGTTTAGGGTTTAGGGTTAGGGTTTAGGGTTTAGGGTTTAGGGGAATACAGATCCCCAGATAGTAGGATTCCCTTACAATAAGGACCCCCCATAAGGTACCCCTAATTTTGGAAACCCCCCCCACTTTATGGCTTTGAGGGTAGCTGGCGCATTGCGTTTGCCAAGTGACAGGGTTCAGGGATGCGGCCATGTCCCAAACCTCAAACCCTAGGTCATCCCGATAACCCTTAAAAGCCAAAGCCCTTTAAGCCCTACAAGCCCTACAAACCCCATGAACCCTATCGATCCAAAAATCCCTAGAACTCTCCAGACCCCGTCTCCAGCGTTGCGTGCAGCGTGGCTCCAAGAACCATGCCCAACAGCCAGCCGAGAAGGAAGTTGTAGGACCCGAGCTGCACGAGGAGCGCAATGACCTGGCGCTTTGAGCGATTAGGGCTGGGAACACGGGTTGGGAAACTTCGGTTTCAGGGTCGCTTTTGCGCTTGTGGGGTGCCATTTGGGGTTTAGTGACCCTACACCCCCCGTCCTTTTTTATTATTTTTTGGGGGGGGGTTTAGGGACGTGCAAGAACTGACTACCCCTTCACCCTTTTTGAGCATCGCCACCTTGCGCCAGCCTGGTGTGTGCCACGTGTGAGACAGGAAGATGTCAAGCTTCGACACCTTGTGGGACCTCGTCCAAAGGGATGCTTTCACCGGCTCTTGAAGATCCTTGGTGCGAGTTTAACTAGGGTTTAGGGTTTCGGGTTTAGGCCGGTTAGGGTTTAGGAAGTAGGGCTCAGGCCTGAGGGTTTGGTGAAGGTTTCGGACTGCGCTCCTGGCTTTTAAAGGTAAGCAAGGCTCTGAACTACCTGTGAACCTCCTTTGGCGCTACCTACTATGCAAAAAACAAATGCAAGGGCAGCCAAGGATCAATGGGAGAGTTCACCCAAAGCTTCCCAAGGTTTCGCAAGGAGGCTCGCAATGGAATCCCTCGTAGCAGGTCTTTCTCAAGAACGAAGTTCTCCAGGCGCTCGCTGCAACGCGTCGAGCGTGAGGCCCTCCCAGTATCTTCGCCACAGACGGGATCGCAGGAGCCACCATCAGAGGCCTCTCTACATTCGGGTTTAGAACGGCAATTGCGCTCAAAAACCCAAAGAAGTTCTTAAGCCACATCCTTTACCAGAACGTTTCTGAACTCGAAACACCCTGTTTTGTCAAAGTTCCAACGTCTTAACTTGAGAGAAGCTTCGGGTCCAGAGCCCGCATAGCTGGGCATGTCTGTAGGCAGATCGGGTATATCATGGGCACCACGTCCGGCACACACCTGGACAGCTTGACAACACTACCAACTGAGGCTGGGCTTGAAGATTTCAGGTTTGAGTCTTCGATCCTCTCACAGAGGGAAGGTCCAAAAAACACGACGATGCTTGTGCCTGAGTTAAAGAAGAAGGGTAGCCCCTTCCTGCTGGTTCTCAAAGAGGCACCTCCTGAACTTCGGGTGGGGCGTCATCAGCTTTGCAGCAGCTGCGGCTGTTTCCCATTGCGGAGGCCCCCTAAACGTGCAAAGCAGACCAGGGGGGCTTTCAACTGCATGAACACGTGCAGGCAACCGCTGCAAGAACCTGCGAGCCAAACTAAGGCCATCCTGACATGGCGCACAACATGCTGGCAGTTTATACATCGCTGACAGAAAGAAACACCCCACGTCTGCAAGTCTTCCTGACCCTGCTGCAGTTCTTTCCACAGTATCTTTGGACGGGAGTATCCTCCTAACCGATTGAAAGCATGGTATTTCTTGCGAGTCCACTTCTGTCCAATCTGTCCAGGACGTGGTTGTGGCTTTGCCACCACTTCCTTTCGATTTGGGGTTTGCCTCTGAGTCCTGGACCCAAGTGCCTGAGCTGAACGACGATAAAAAGGAGAATCCATCGAACGGAAACCCTCGACCAGCTCACGGCGACCCATGATAGTGGCACAATACACAAGGAGGCTGTCGAGGAAGAAGGGACGCCTCTTCCACTGCCAAGCTGCGGGATGAGAGTGCCCCATTTCAGGTATACGAGCTCGCGAGGTCACTGAAATGCATGTGGGCTGGTTTGACTTGTGCCCATAAAAATTGAGCACCGTTTTAGCAGGTCCGGTCTGCGTCAAAAACCCAAAAGACCAAGAAAAAAAACGGTACATTGCCAGATTTGCGATTTAGGGGGTTTAGCGTGTTTAGATATTTCAACATTGAAAGGCTTGGCAGTCCTGTCGGTGGCTCTTTTTTCGCGAACTGCTGCCTCAAGGTTCCGGTGTTGGCAGTCACCGAGTGACCGAGCGCGGGGTGGGAGGGGTGTGGGTGGGTTGTGGTGACTCGAGACGGTATTGTTTTCGGTTGGCCGTGCGTTTAGATTCTCAATGTTTTGGTTTTGGTAAAGTTTGGTGATTGTGAGGGAGGTGTTCGTTCTGGTTTTTGTTCTCCGTTTTGAGCAGAAACACCGGTGTTCGTTCCGGGTTTTGGTGTTCGTCTGGTGCTCGTTCTCATGGTGTTCGTTTGGTGCTCGTTCTCGGTTGGTGTTCGTTTGGTGCTTGTTCTACAAAGCGGTAAGTAAGAAGGAGAACGAACACCAAACGAACACCAGGAGAACGAACACCAAACGAACACCAAATGAGAATACCAAATGAGAACGAACACCAAGCGAACATCACCTAGAACGAGCACCAAACGAACACCAAGAACGAACACCCAGGAGAACGAACACCAGAACGAACACCAGCCCCCGCGCTTGCCAAAAAACACAAAAACAAAACATAATTTCAACAATTCATGTCCGCGCTGAGTTGCCTGGCAAAGCCCTGGGTCACCTCATGTCACCACATCATCAATCACCCAAGTATAAACCTTCCCGGCCAAACTACGAGCAACTGGCAACCGTCGTATGACCATGAGGGGTCCTTTTACAATTTCCTTGCTGAAAGCAATGCCTTTTGGGGCCCGCCTGAGATCAGTGGGTGATGTCTTTGGGCTGGGCCCCTGGGCATGACATCTCAAACAAAAAAGCTCTTTGTGCATTGCCGAAAAACCCAACTCGGCAGCCCTTTGTTCGTTTGGCGAAAAACTAGGCCCCAAAATGCCGCATTGCGTTTTCCGACACATGCAAGGGAGCCCCTTCATGGACAACATCGTTTTCAGTGACCTCGCGAGCTCGCAATGTTTTTGGCTCGCTTTCGCCATCGTCTTGTAGTCTTCCATTGGGCGGAGATCAATCTCCCTTTTTTCTTCTGGGCGAGTTCGCATTTTGCAGGGAAATGCAGGCCAGCGCCGATTGGTGAAACAGCTCTCCCCCCAACAACCTGCCCCAGCCACGTTGTTGTGGAAAGCAATGCCATTGATTGCTCAAAACCAACGTGTCGTTTGTTCACTCAAGCAAAATTCTGCAAAGGTCAAACGATTGTGAACCAAATCAGTCGGTTCCTCATCGGGCTGACATTTAGGGGGAAACAAACCAGTCCTTAAACTAGCGACAGTGGCAGCGCAGACCACAGATTTCAGAAGACACAACAGTCGAGCAGGCAATATGTCAAGCTGCGCAAATCGTTCACGTTTGCCACAGACTCAGTTGCGGAGCCATTCATGAATGCTTCGCTTTGCATGAGCTCTTTATGAAAACTTTCGCTCTGGCACCTTCTCCCTGCAACACACAGTCTTCTGATTCTTGCATATTCTTGAATGCACAAATCACGACGCACGCAAAAAAACTAAACGAATTTACAAGACTGCGCTTTATAGGCTCCGAGCTGATTCTTCCAAAGTCGACTGAGCGCGGCTGCCATCGTCCTGGCCTCAGCGCAGGTTTTTCAACAGGTATACGCAAGGTTTGCAGGTTTAAAAGATGCACAGTCTTCAAAATCCTAGCGCACAGGAAAAGTCCTTACACAACAACGCTGGCCTGATGATTCTGCAACTATTGATGGACGAATTCTACGGAGAAAGTACACTAACGCGCAATCTTAAAATTCCGCAGCAAACTCAAAGTCTCAACACGCAACACTGGATTACATTCTGAAGATACGATAACTGGTCCGCAGCACGCGCAATGCCTCACATGAAACAATATTCGACGTGTGATTGCAAACGCACAACCATCGCACGATCTCTACTTTACCAAGGACCTTTTTGGGAACGGGCTATTCCAGCAGGCGGATGACCAAGTTAAACATGTGTTCCACGCACCGCCAGGCACGTCGGACGCTTTAAATTGAAACGCCGGCACCTTTCTCCGTCTAAACTCTCCGACAGTCCACAGAAGAAGATAAAACAGAGCGACCCACATCCGAAGAAACAGCGGCATTCCACTGCCAAGCCCAGCGCAGTTCGGCTGAGCAAAGAAAGCCTTAAGGGAGTGAAGAGCAAAAACGATCAAAGAGCTCGCAAAACCTGCTGCGCAGCTGCAGTACGTTAACAAGCACTATGGCGGGTTCAAGTGTTCACACACAGCTGCAGTCAAGTTGACGTGAAGCTGTACAAAAGCAAGATCAAACGACATGCAATTGCTACGTCGCTGCACCACATGCTCAAGATAAATCCTTGATCTGGACAAACTCACAAGTGCCACCTGCGCACAAGGACGAGCGATCTTGCCTGTTGAACCTTTCTCGCAAAGTCTGCGCCTTGGCTCAAAGTTGAAATTTAGACAGACCGTTCCTACACGTTAGTGCTTTTTTTTTTTTTGGACTGGCGCCTCTTTACTACATCAGTAGCACAGTAGGCCGGTCTTGTTGGGCTCGACGTAAAGGGTGAAACAGAGTCAGCGCACACAACCCGCCAGACACAACACGAAACCACCAAAGAACAGACACCGAAGAAACAAAGCGAGCAATCGCGCTAAACTACTAGGTACCCCACGGACTCAGTACTCGAGGTCGTCAATGAAGTCCCGGTGCACAAGGAAGCACAGAGCTTGTGGGGGATTCGCAAAATGCGACATTGCCAGATTCACAAAATCACCATCATGTAGCCACTGGTGCGACAGCGGTTAGTCAAACCGAGGTCATCAGACGAGGTTCGGATCGCTTAATCGTTGTCAAGGAAAGACAGCCGACACTCAATGGCGAAAGGATGTTGCAAGTCAGACTCCCAAGGGGGGATGAAAGATGTGCATATGCCCCATGGTGGTCAGCCAGTGGGGACTTAACAGCAAGAACAATCCAGGCAAGACCGGCCCAGGGCACTCCATGGTGGTCAGCCAGTGGAGTAGCTCCGAGCACAGGGTTCACCAGTCAACCTGGCGCACAAGTGCCCACCCTCAAAGGTGCCCGCGCACGGCCAGAGGGGGGGGCGAGAGTAGCAGCAGCTACCGATTACCTGGCGCACAAGGGCCCACCCTCAGAGGTGCCCGCGCACGGTCAGAGGGGGGGCGAGAGTAGCAGCAGCTACCGATTCCACGGGGAGAGTCCACGGCGAGTTACCAAACCCTTAACGCCACAGGGTTTATAATGACACCGAGGGACCTCCCAGTCCAGGCATCTCACACAAGGCTACGCCACTTTGGCGCTGGCCTGCGCATCGGCACGCATCAGGTCCCTTCACCCAAACCCGCGAGGTACGTCGGTAAGGAGATGGGAGGGCTCACATCACCATCATGCAGCCACCAATGCGAATACATTCAGCACCAGCCAAGGCCGTTCACGAGAAGGTTCACAGTTTCGCCATCACAGGTGGAGCAAAGTCGCGCCTCAGCACGGAACGTTGTAGGTGTCAACCTTCGTGTTCCGAAGTATAAAGTTGCCCCATGGTGGTCAGCCAGTGGGGACTTAACGGCAAGAACAAAGGGGTAGGACCAGCCCAGAGTACTCCATGGTGGTCAGCCAGTGGAGCCTCTCCGAGCACAAAGCGCAACGTTCTTTTGACTTACAAGAGCTCGTCGCCGGCCAAAGCAGGCTTGACTGCTTCGTTCCACTCAGAGCCATCAGGTAAACCAAAGCAGGCGGGGACCCCACCTGCCCCGCAGAAGGCGGGAGAGTCCCCCAGTCGAAACTTCGCACTCAAGGCCAAGCAACTATCTCCTTGCCCGGTGAGGGTTGAGGGTTCAATACCCAGAATCAGACCGTCCATGCCCAAACTGACAGACGTCGGCGAGGAGATGTGAGGGCTCACATCACGCTTGGCCACCTACCGATGGGGAGGTAGTCATGTATGGCTGCTTTGACGCAAGCAGAGATGACACCAAGCAGGCAGGGAAGTGGAAACCTGATCTCCGCATAGGAGTGTCCACAACCCGGAAGCAGCATCCCCCAGCTGGTCTCTTCCAATAGGCATGACGTCGTTGTACGCCAAGGCGAGAGATGGTCAATCCTCTAGTCCGAGGGGTTCACACTTGATCGTAGCACATAGAAGCAGGCAACCTGCCCACCTAGAGGGGGCAGAGGAAAGGAAGATTGGCCGGTTTGCCGATGACAGGTGCAGGCAATGAGCACACAGAAGACAAGCACGATCCAATCGTGGCATGGACCACGAGAGGGTTCCAAACCAAGAATATCCCGAGGTAGTCTTGCGGCA